TGAGGACCTCTACTCTAGGCTGTTGTCTTAGACCCCATGTGCCCGTCCATTGAGGACCTTTCCTCTACTCTAGGCTGTTGTGGTAGGCCCCATGTGCCCGTCAATTGAGGACCTCTACTCTAGGCTGTTGTCTTAGACCCCATGTGCCCGTCCATTGAGGACCTCTACTCTAGGCTGTTGTCTTAGACCCCATGTGCCCGTCCATTGAGGACCTCTACTCTAGGCTGTGGTAGGCCCCATGTGCCCGTCCATTGAGGACCTTTCCTCTACTCTAGGCTGTTGTCTTAGGCCCCATGTGCCCGTCCATTGAGGACCTCTACTCTAGGCTGTTGTCTTAGACCCCATGTGCCCGTCCATTGAGGACCTTTCCTCTACTCTAGGCTGTTGTCTTAGACCCCATGTGCCCGTCCATTGAGGACCTCTACTCTAGGCTGTTGTCTTAGGCCCCATGTGCCCGTCCATTGAGGACCTCTACTCTAGGCTGTTGTCTTAGGCCCCATGTGCCCGTCCATTGAGGACCTCTACTCTAGGCTGTTGTGGTAGGCCCCATGTGCCCGTCCATTGAGGACCTCTACTCTAGGCTGTTGTCTTAGGCCCCATGTGCCCGTCCATTGAGGACCTCTACTCTAGGCTGTTGTCTTAGGCCCCATGTGCCCGTCCATTGAGGACCTCTACTCTAGGCTGTTGTCTTAGGCCCCATGTGCCCGTCCATTGAGGACCTCTACTCTAGGCTGTTGTGGTAGGCCCCATGTGCCCGTCCATTGAGGACCTCTACTCTAGGCTGTTGTCTTAGGCCCCATGTGCCCGTCCATTGAGGACCTCTACTCTAGGCTGTTGTTTTAGCCCCATGTGCCCGTCCATTGAGGACCTTTCCTCTACTCTAGGCTGTTGTCTTAGGCCCCATGTGCCCGTCCATTGAGGACCTCTACTCTAGGCTGTTGTCTTAGGCCCCATGTGCCCGTCCATTGAGGACCTCTACTCTAGGCTGTTGTTTTAGCCCCATGTGCCCGTCCATTGAGGACCTCTAGGCTGTTGTCTTAGGCCCCATGTGCCCGTCCATTGAGGACCTCTACTCTAGGCTGTTGTCTTAGGCCCCATGTGCCCGTCCATTGAGGACCTCTACTTTAGGCTGTTGTTTTAGGCCCCATGTGCCCGTCCATTGAGGACCTTTCCTCTACTCTAGGCTGTTGTCTTAGGCCCCATGTGCCCGTCCATTGAGGACCTCTACTCTAGGCTGTTGTTTTAGGCCCCATGTGCCCGTCCATTGAGGACCTTTCCTCTACTCTAGGCTGTTGTCTTAGACCCCATGTGCCCGTCCATTGAGGACCTCTACTCTAGGCTGTTGTCTTAGACCCCATGTGCCCGTCCATTGAGGACCTTTCCTCTACTCTAGGCTGTTGTCTTAGACCCCATGTGCCCGTCCATTGAGGACCTCTACTCTAGGCTGTTGTCTTAGACCCCATGTGCCCGTCCATTGAGGACCTCTACTCTAGGCTGTTGTCTTAGGCCCCATGTGCCCGTCCATTGAGGACCTCTACTCTAGGCTGTTGTCTTAGACCCCATGTGCCCGTCCATTGAGGACCTTTCCTCTGTTCTAAGCTGTTGTCTTAGGCCCCATGTGCCCGTCCATTGAGGACCTCTACTCTAGGCTGTGGTAGGCCCCATGTGCCCGTCCATTGAGGACCTTTCCTCTACTCTAGGCTGTTGTCTTAGGCCCCATGTGCCCGTCCATTGAGGACCTCTACTCTAGGCTGTGGTAGGCCCCATGTGCCCGTCCATTGAGGACCTTTCCTCTACTCTAGGCTGTTGTCTTAGGCCCCATGTGCCCGTCCATTGAGGACCTCTACTCTAGGCTGTTGTCTTAGGCCCCATGTGCCCGTCCATTGAGGACCTCTACTCTAGGCTGTTGTCTTAGGCCCCATGTGCCCGTCCATTGAGGACCTTTCCTCTACTCTAGGCTGTTGTCTTAGGCCCCATGTGCCCGTCCATTGAGGACCTCTACTCTAGGCTGTTGTCTTAGACCCCATGTGCCCGTCCATTGAGGACCTTTCCTCTACTCTAGGCTGTTGTGGTAGGCCCCATGTGCCCGTCAATTGAGGACCTCTACTCTAGGCTGTTGTCTTAGGCCCCATGTGCCCGTCCATTGAGGACCTCTACTCTAGGCTGTTGTCTTAGGCCCCATGTGCCCGTCCATTGAGGACCTCTACTCTAGGCTGTTGTCTTAGACCCCATGTGCCCGTCCATTGAGGACCTCTACTCTAGGCTGTTGTTTTAGCCCCATGTGCCCGTCCATTGAGGACCTTTCCTCTACTCTAGGCTGTTGTCTTAGACCCCATGTGCCCGTCCATTGAGGACCTCTACTCTAGGCTGTTGTCTTAGGCCCCATGTGCCCGTCCATTGAGGACCTCTACTTTAGGCTGTTGTTTTAGGCCCCATGTGCCCGTCCATTGAGGACCTTTCCTCTACTCTAGGCTGTTGTCTTAGGCCCCATGTGCCCGTCCATTGAGGACCTTTCCTCTACTCTAGGCTGTTGTCTTAGACCCCATGTGCCCGTCCATTGAGGACCTCTACTCTAGGCTGTTGTCTTAGACCCCATGTGCCCGTCCATTGAGGACCTCTACTCTAGGCTGTTGTGGTAGGCCCCATGTGCCCGTCCATTGAGGACCTCTACTCTAGGCTGTTGTCTTAGACCCCATGTGCCCGTCCATTGAGGACCTCTACTCTAGGCTGTTGTCTTAGGCCCCATGTGCCCGTCCATTGAGGACCTCTACTCTAGGCTGTTGTCTTAGGCCCCATGTGCCCGTCCATTGAGGACCTCTACTCTAGGCTGTTGTCTTAGACCCCATGTGCCCGTCCATTGAGGACCTTTCCTCTGTTCTAAGCTGTTGTCTTAGACCCCATGTGCCCGTCCATTGAGGACCTCTACTCTAGGCTGTTGTCTTAGGCCCCATGTGCCCGTCCATTGAGGACCTCTACTCTAGGCTGTTGTCTTAGGCCCCATGTGCCCGTCCATTGAGGACCTCTACTCTAGGCTGTTGTCTTAGGCCCCATGTGCCCGTCCATTGAGGACCTTTCCTCTACTCTAGGCTGTTGTCTTAGGCCCCATGTGCCCGTCCATTGAGGACCTCTACTCTAGGCTGTTGTCTTAGGCCCCATGTGCCCGTCCATTGAGGACCTCTACTCTAGGCTGTTGTCTTAGGCCCCATGTGCCCGTCCATTGAGGACCTCTACTCTAGGCTGTTGTCTTAGGCCCCATGTGCCTGTCCATTGAGGACCTCTACTCTAGGCTGTTGTGGTAGGCCCCATGTGCCCGTCCATTGAGGACCTCTACTCTAGGCTGTTGTCTTAGGCCCCATGTGCCCGTCCATTGAGGACCTCTACTCTAGGCTGTTGTCTTAGGCCCCATGTGCCTGTCCATTGAGGACCTCTACTCTAGGCTGTTGTCTTAGGCCCCATGTGCCCGTCCATTGAGGACCTCTACTCTAGGCTGTTGTCTTAGGCCCCATGTGCCCGTCCATTGAGGACCTCTACTCTAGGCTGTTGTCTTAGGCCCCATGTGCCCGTCCATTGAGGACCTCTACTCTAGGCTGTTGTCTTAGGCCCCATGTGCCCGTCCATTGAGGACCTCTACTCTAGGCTGTTGTCTTAGGCCCCATGTGCCCGTCCATTGAGGACCTCTACTCTAGGCTGTTGTCTTAGGCCCCATGTGCCCGTCCATTGAGGACCTCTACTCTAGGCTGTTGTCTTAGGCCCCATGTGCCCGTCCATTGAGGACCTTTCCTCTACTCTAGGCTGTTGTCTTAGGCCCCATCTGCCCGTCCATTGAGGACCTCTACTCTAGGCTGTTGTCTTAGGCCCCATGTGCCCGTCCATTGAGGACCTCTACTCTAGGCTGTTGTCTTAGGCCCCATGTGCCCGTCCATTGAGGACCTCTACTCTAGGCTGTTGTCTTAGGCCCCATGTGCCCGTCCATTGAGGACCTCTACTCTAGGCTGTTGTCTTAGGCCCCATGTGCCCGTCCATTGAGGACCTCTACTCTAGGCTGTTGTCTTAGGCCCCATGTGCCCGTCCATTGAGGACCTCTACTCTAGGCTGTTTTCACGGGACCCGAGAGTCAAAGCCAATATGTAATGACCTTTAAACATTTAAACTGAGCTTTTTTTCTTCAAGGCGACTGTCACATTCATCTTTACTCAGGGTGAATAACTCTCCTATAAATCTTTACTCAGGGTGAATAACTCTCCTATAAATCTTTACTCAGGGTGAATAACTCTCCTATAAATCTTTACTCAGGGTGAATAACTCTCCTATAAATCTTTACTCAGGGTGAATAACTCTCCTATAAATCTTTATTCAGGGTGAATAACTCTCCTATAAATCTTTATTCAGGATGAATAACACTCCCATAAATCTTTATTCAGGGTGAATAACTCTCCTATAAATCTTTATTGAGGATAAAAAATGGCCATGGGGTCGTCCATAAATGACGTCGCACTCGTAACGGGAGGGGGGGGGGGGGGGGTCGGTAATTTTGTGACGATGTGTGATGAGGGGGAAGGGGGGGGGTTCAGATGATGCGATGTCATACTTTTGCTTTATAGATAAGAAGTGTTAGAAAACGAATTTTAGACGTTATTTAGCGTTTTAGAAAACAGTTTTAATAAATTATAATAGGAATTGATTAAAATACTCTATTTTGACATATTTCAGACAAGATTTTGGAAAAATATCGATGTTTAAAAAAAAATTCAACTGCAATTTTGAGGGGGGGGGGGGTTGTAAGCTGAGGTGTGACGTCATTTTAGCGGGAGAGGGTCTGGCTTTTTGTGACGGAGGGGAGAGGTAAAAATCGTCATAAAAGCGTGACGTCATTTATGGATGACCCCCATGATAAATCTTTATTCAGGATGAATAGCTCTCCTATAAATCTTTATTCAGAATAAATAACTCCAATAAATCTTTATTCAGAATAAATAACTCTCCAATAAATCTTTATTCAGGGTGAATATATTGACGTGACACTTGGCGTGACCTTGGGTATCAGCACTATGGCAGGTCAGTTGAATTATCTAGCCTCTCATTTAATTTAGACACGCTTTTAAGATCTGCCAAGTTTAGCTCACTACCAAGACTTATAGTTTAGCTCACTACCAAGTCTTATTTATAGATCAGCCCACTACCAAGACATAGTTTAGCTCATTACCAAGTCTTATGGTTTAGCTCACCTGATAATAAATACATTATCTTTTACAGCTGCAGCACTTGGGAATTTGATATCTGATGTAGCTGGTCTAGGGTAAGTGGCTGTAGCTGGTCTAGGGTAATTAGCTGGCTGTAGCTGGTCTAGGGTAAGTGGCTGTAGCTGGTCTAGGGTAATTAGCTGGCTGTAGCTGGTCTAGGGTAAGTGGCTGTAGCTGGTCTAGGGTAAGTGGCTGTAGCTGGTCTAGGGTAAGTGGCTGTAGCTGGTCTAGGGTAAGTGGCTGTAGCTGGTCTAGGGTATGTGGCTGTAGCTGGTCTAGGGTAAGTGGCTGTAGCTGGTCTAGGGTAAGTGGCTGTAGCTGGTCTAGGGTAAGTGGCTGTAGCTGGTCTAGGGTAAGTGGCTGTAGCTGGTCTAGGGTAAGTAGCTGTAGCTGGTCTAGGGTAATTAGCTGGCTGTAGCTGGTCTAGGGTAAGTGACTGTAGCTGGTCTAGGGTAAGTGGCTGTAGCTGGTCTAGGGTAAGTAGCTGTAGCTGGTCTAGGGTAAGTGGCTGTAGCTGGTCTAGGGTAAGTGACTGTAGCTGGTCTAGGGTAAGTGGCTGTAGCTGGTCTAGGGTAAGTGGCTGTAGCTGGTCTAGGGTAAGTGGATGTAGCTGGTCTAGGGTAAGTGGCTGTAGCTGGTCTAGGGTAAGTGGCTGTAGCTGGTCTAGGGTAAGTGGCTGTAGCTGGTCTAGGGTAAGTGACTGTAGCTGGTCTAGGGTAAGTGGATGTAGCTGGTCTAGGGTAAGTGGCTGTAGCTGGTCTAGGGTAAGTGGATGTAGCTGGTCTAGGGTAAGTGGCTGTAGCTGGTCTAGGGTAATTAGCTGGCTGTAGCTGGTCTAGGGTAAGTGGCTGTAGCTGGTCTAGGGTAATTAGCTGGCTGTAGCTGGTCTAGGGTAAGTGGCTGTAGCTGGTCTAGGGTAAGTGGCTGTAGCTGGTCTAGGGTAAGTGGCTGTAGCTGGTCTAGGGTAAGTGGCTGTAGCTGGTCTAGGGTATGTGGCTGTAGCTGGTCTAGGGTAAGTGGCTGTAGCTGGTCTAGGGTAAGTGGCTGTAGCTGGTCTAGGGTAAGTGGCTGTAGCTGGTCTAGGGTAAGTGGCTGTAGCTGGTCTAGGGTAAGTAGCTGTAGCTGGTCTAGGGTAATTAGCTGGCTGTAGCTGGTCTAGGGTAAGTGACTGTAGCTGGTCTAGGGTAAGTGGCTGTAGCTGGTCTAGGGTAAGTGGCTGTAGCTGGTCTAGGGTGAGTGACTGTAGCTGGTCTAGGGTAAGTGGCTGTAGCTGGTCTAGGGTAAGTGGCTGTAGCTGATCTAGGGTAAGTGACTGGCTGTAGCTGGTCTAGGGTAAGTGGCTGTAGCTGGTCTAGTGTAATTAGCTGTACCTGATCTAGGGTAAGTGGCTGTAGCTGGTCTAGGGTAAGTGACTGTAGCTGGTCTAGGGTAATTAGCTGGCTGTAGCTGGTCTAGGGTATGTGGCTGTAGCTGGTCTAGGGTAAGTGGCTGTAGCTGGTCTAGGGTAATTAGCTGGCTGTAGCTGGTCTAGGGTAATTCTCTGGCTGTAGCTGGTCTAGGGTAAGTGGCTGTAGCTGGTCTAGGGTAATTCGCTGGCTGTAGCTGGTCTAGAGTAAGTGACTGTAGCTGGTCTAGGGTAATTAGCTGGCTGTAGCTGGTCTAGGGTAAGTGGCTGGCTGTAGCTGGTCTAGAGTAAGTGTCTGTAGCTGGTCTAGGGTAAGTGGCTGTAGCTGGTCTAGGGTAATTAGCTGGCTGTAGCTGGTCTAGGGTATGTGGCTGTAGCTGGTCTAGGGTAATTAGCTGGCTGTAGCTGGTCTAGGGTAAGTGACTGTAGCTGGTCTAGGGTAATTAGCTGGCTGTAGCTGGTCTAGGGTAAGTGGCTGTAGCTGGTCTAGGGTAAGTGGCTGTAGCTGGTCTAGGGTAAGTGTATGTAGCTGGTCTAGGGTAAGTGGCTGTAGCTGGTCTAGGGTAAGTGACTGTAGCTGGTCTAGGGTAATTAGCTGGCTGTAGCTGGTCTAGGGTAAGTGACTGTAGCTGGTCTAGGGTATGTGGCTGTAGCTGGTCTAGGGTAAGTGGCTGGCTGTAGCTGGTCTAGGGTAAGTGTCTGTAGCTGGTCTAGGGTAATTAGCTGGCTATAGCTGGTCTAGGGTAAGTGGCTGTAGCTGGTCTAGGGTAAGTGGCTGTAGCTGGTCTAGGGTAATTAGCTGGCTGTAGCTGGTCTAGGGTAAGTGACTGTAGCTGGTCTAGGGTAATTAGCTGGCTGTAGCCTGTAGCTGGTCTAGGGTAAGTGGCTGTAGCTGGTCTAGGGTAATTAGCTGGCTGTAGCTGGTCTAGGGTAAGTGGCTGTAGCAGGTCTAGGGTAAGTGGCTGTAGCTGGTCTAGGGTAAGTTACTGGCTGTAGCTGGTCTAGGGTATGTGGCTGTAGCTGGTCTAGGGTAAGTGACTGGCTGTAGCTGGTAAATGGGTTATTATAGACCATGAAAGTGTTAAACTAGCCTAGGTTAATTGGGTTATCCAAGCTGGCGTATTTGATAAGGTGATCAGTGTTTGAGGTGACACCTCTATAGGTGATCAGTGTTTGAGGTGACACCTCTATAGGTGACCTATGAGCTGCCCTCTAACCTTGGCCCTGTGTTGGCAGGTCGGCCCACTATGTAGAAAACTGGGCTGCCAAGATTGGTGTAAAGAATCCTCACCTCAGCCCCACACAAGTGGACATTGGCAGCACAAAGTGGGCTTCCAACATGGTTTGTATTCCTAAAATTCTTGCTTCCCACATTATGGTTTTTATTTCTAAAGGTTGTTTTGGTTAGTTTAAAAAAATATGTAATTTACTTGTATCCTCATTTAAACATCAACAATAATTCATTTTAGATCTTTAGACCTGAGCATAAACTAGAAATGTATTTTTGCGTAATGCACTGAGCTTCTATAGATAGATGGCTAGTGTTTGTGTTGACACTTGTAATTTAATTCTATTTCCTGGTCTTGAAGGGCAAGGTGATTGGAGTGACCATTGGCTGTCTGCTGGGCATGATGCCCCTTCTTTTCTTTAAGGATGAGAAAAAAAAGGTGGATGAGGATAAAACTGAAGCTAATTAATGAACTAATTCCATGGATCCACTAGACTATTTATTGTAGTGGTCTTCACTAGACTCTTGTCCTATGTTGCCTATTGTTTTCCTAATCTATTCCCATGACAATCAGGTTTTTCCCATGACTTTGACTGACATCAGACTTCCCTTACCAAATGTTGTATCATCAATCATGTATCAAGTTTTCCCATGACTTTGACTGACATCAGACTTCCCTTACCAAATGTTGTATCATCAATCATGTATCAAGTTTTTCCCATGACTTTGACTGACATCAGACTTCCCTTACCAAATGTTGTATCATCAATCATGTATCAAGTTTATAGTAATTATAGAAAGTCTGGGCTATCTCAATTTACTCACTGACATCAACTTGGGGGTATAATAATGTGTTAGTTGGAGCTTTACATTTTAATCTTGTTTGTAGCCAGTCATCTAGTTTGTACATTGATGGCTGTAGCCAGTCATCTAGTTTGTACATTGATGGCCAACCCATGTTAGTTAATAAGACAATAGCTCACCTTTGGACAGGAAACTTTTTAATTTGATGGTTGTGAACTTATTTATTTTGACAAGTTCAATGTTGAACTCTTAAGTGTCAGACTATGTGTTGTGTCACCAGGAGTTGTTGTTTTTCAATGTTTCTGTATGTGGCACACTTTGGAAAGATAAATAAATCCTCACACTGCATTTTTGTCTGGCAGTTTTTCAACTCATTTGTCCACAAGGCAATGTTCAATCTCACAGGGGGGAGGGATAAATTCAAAAGATTGGCACCAGAAAGAGGATGTAGGGGAGGGGTGATGTGACATGGCCAGGGACATGATGTAGCCTTAGGAGAATGTGAGTACATAAAGCCAGTACATGATGTAGCCTTAGGAGAATGTGAGTACATAAAGCCAGTACATGATGTAGCCTTAGAGAATGTGAGTACATAAAGCCAGTACATGATGTAGCCTTAGAGAATGTGAGTACATAAAGCCAGTACATGATGTAGCCTTAGAGAATGTGAGTACATAAAGCCAGTACATGATGTAGCCTTAGAGAATGTGAGTACATAAAGCCAGTACATGATGTAGCCTTAGAGAATGTGAGTACATAAAGCCAGTACATGATGTAGCCTTAGAGAATGTGAGTACATAAAGCCAGTACATGATGTAGCCTTAGAGAATGTGAGTACATAAAAGGGGTGACACTTAAACCCAGGGACATGATGTAGCCTTAGAGAATGTGAGTACATAAAAGGGGTGACACCAGATGTATAACTCCTCAGCTAGCACATGTTGTAGCCTTAGAGAATGTATGTGAGTAGATAAAAGGGGTGACACCAGATGTATAACTGCTTGTATGAGTCTGAGCAACATTTCAACAAAAGTTGAGAAAAAACAAACCAATGGACATTTGAGCTGAGATCCAGTGCACATTTGTAAAGTATTGAGTACATGAGACTTTAGAAGGCATAAATGGCAAGATCCAACTCAAACAGTGATGAAAGCTGATGACAAGATGTGTTGCCCAAAAGAAATCCTCAATGAAAGCTTTTCAAAAAGTAGAATCTAGAAGCCAAGTTGAATTATAAGGGGCCAATGAAAATCCTGTAAAGGCCACAGAAAATCTTACAAAGTCGGTCCCTTGCTTCATTGTGTAGAAATATTGGGGGGGGGGGGGGGGTCAATACAAGACCAGCACACAGGTGTTTGTACAGATTTATTGAGTGAAGGTAGACCACCACAGAGGTGGCTCTAGTACAGCCATAGAAACCTGGATGGACTTAGTGATTTATCAAACAAATGACAAGTAAAAGTCTATCAAAACTCCACTTTCTGGGATGTCATTCAACCAGCTTGACTTTCTCTCATGTTTGTATGTGTCCAATAGTTACATTATGGGATGTCATCCAACCAGCTACACATCAGCTTGACTTGCTCTCATGTTTGTATGTGTCCAATAGTTACATTAGACTGGACCCAGTAACATGTCTATTCTGTCAGTGTCACAGCACGTCAGACAATGTCACTCTGACAGTGTCACATTCTGAAAGTGTCAGACACGGAAGTCTCTGATGGGCAAGATGCCCCTCCTGTGTGAGACAACCCTGACAACCCTCTGCTTGAGCTGGTTGACAACCTCCCTAAAGCCTCTGTCCTCTGAGACAATGAAGAATGGGATGTGAGTTGGAAGTCTGTCATCAAGCTTGCCCATCTGGAACAAAAGTTGACAGAAATCAGAGCTGACCACATGGCCAAACAAACATGGCTAAACAAAAGTCACAGTCAACACATCACCTACACTTGTAGCAAATGACAGTGACAACAGTCAACATACACCTACACTTGTAGCAAGCCACAGTGATAACAGTCAACACATCACCTACACTTGTAGCAAATGACAGTGACAACAGTCAACACATCACCTACACTTGTAGCAAGTCACAGTGACAACAGTCAACACATCACCTACACTTGTAGCAAGTCACAGTGACAACAGTCAACACATCACCTACACTTGTAGCAAGTCACAGTGACAACAGTCAACACATCACCTACACTTGTAGCAAGTCACAGTGACAACAGTCAACACATCACCTACACTTGTAGCAAGTCACAGTGATAACAGTCAACACATCACCTACACTTGTAGCAAGTCACAGTGACAACAGTCAACACATCACCTACACTTGTAGCAAGTCACAGTGACAACAGTCAACACATCACCTACACTTGTAGCAAGTCACAGTGACAACAGTCAACACATCACCTACACTTGTAGCAAGTCACAGTGATAACAGTCAACACATCACCTACACTTGTAGCAAGTCACAGTGACAACAGTCAACACATCACCTACACTTGTAGCAAGTCACAGTGATAACAGTCAACACATCACCTACACTTGTAGCAAATGACAGTGACAACAGTCAACATACACCTACACTTGTAGCAAGTCACAGTGACAACAGTCAACACATCACCTACACTTGTAGTAAATGACAGTGATAACAGTCAACACATCACCTACACTTGTAGCAAATGACAGTGATAACAGTCAACACATCACCTACACTTGTAGCAAGTCACAGTGACAACAGTCAACACATCACCTACACTTGTAGCAAGTCACAGTGACAACAGTCAACACATCACCTACACTTGTAGCAAGTCACAGTGACAACAGTCAACACATCACCTACACTTGTAGCAAGTCACAGTGATAACAGTCAACACATCACCTACACTTGTAGCAAGTCACAGTGATAACAGTCAACACATCACCTACACTTGTAGCAAGTCACAGTGACAACAGTCAACACATCACCTACACTTGTAGCAAGTCACAGTGACAACAGTCAACACATCACCTACACTTGTAGCAAGTCACAGTCAACACATCACCTACACTTGTAGCAAGTCACAGTGATAACAGTCAACACATCACCTACACTTGTAGCAAGTCACAGTGATAACAGTCAACACATCACCTACACTTGTAGCAAGTCACAGTGACAACAGTCAACACATCACCTACACTTGTAGCAAGTCACAGTGACAACAGTCAACACATCACCTACACTTGTAGCAAGTCACAGTGATAACAGTCAACACATCACCTACACTTGTAGCAAATGACAGTGACAACAGTCAACATAAAAAAAATTTACATTTTATGTTGTTAATTATGATGCAATAAAAAAATGGCTTATACTTATTGGTCAAATGTTCACTTTAGAAATATCTTGCTAAACGCTTAAGTTATTTTCATAATTTTTAAGAGATATTTTATATTTGAGGTTAATTGCTGAACACTAAGAAATACATGAGCTAAGTAAAGACATGAACTAACTAATCTGGTGACAGATAGTATCTTACAGTTAAAGTCATGGCAATATCTGCTGCATCTTTGCTAGTGCCAATCTCTGTAGAGATGTGGACACAGTTTGCCTCTTTCAGCTCATTGTAGACAGGGAACCTGGGAACACAATACTCACACATATGTCATAAGATATTTAGAGATCATAAATCATTTACAGATAATAAGATACATTTTCCATCCTTATTTAATGATCTAAAAGTAAATATTCTGTGCTTTGCTTATTGAGTGTTAAATAGGTTTAAGACATGAACAATCCTGGGTAAGTTTTCTTTGTGTTTAATCTATAATAGACTGTTGTGTGTGAGTCCTTCAGGACGTCATCGCTATAGACTTTGGAACCGTAAAAGTAATCATCAAACCATGCAGTGCTTTTAAATTGCATCGCATCGTCTTATTTTAAGTTATAGAGTAGGGTTTGTTTATATAACGACTTTATTTTATAGTTGGCACAGTTTTTACTCTATCGCATAACGTGAAGAAAACATTGCTAAAACATATTAAACGAATCAATGTCAAAAAATATTATAGCTTCGATTTCTAGAAAAAATGGATACCTTTTACTAACAGTAGGGTAAAAAAAAGTAATAACTTAAAATGTTTAATAATTATGTCAGGGGAGGTAAATTAAAAATAAATTCAACTAACGATAATTAAAAAAAACCGGGAGTGATCTCCCCTAAACTTTCTCGAATATTCTTATATAACTTGGAATGTAGACATGATTTTTAATTACTTAAACTTTTAAAAATAGAATAGAATCTCATAGAAAAAAACATTGCGCACCAAACAAACGCCGAAACAAAATGTGCATAATAGTGCGCAATATTATTAGTACTTTAAAAATTTACATTAGTTTTTTGAGAAATCGGAAGTAGCGTAAATTACTACTTCCGGTCAACGGAAATTACTCAAAATTTAACAGAAGGTAGAGAATTAGATCTTTTACTTACATGTGAAATTTCATTTATCTATCTGAAATAGTACTCAAGTTATAGGCTTTTGAAAAATTCAAAGTAAAAAAAGTACCACTTCCGGTTGTCGGAAATCGCTCAAAAGTTGATACGGATCTACGATTTTGATATAATACTTATATATGAAATTTCATCAACCTAGCTGTAACGGTACTCAAGTTATCGTGTTTACACACAGACAGACACACACACACACACACGGACAAGATTGCAAAATTATGTTTTTCCGTATCAGTGAGGTGTAAAACGTTAAAAATCTCGATTTTTTTTTTTTGCACGATTACAATACTTTCTCTATACTACGTATATACGAGAAAGTAAAAAACGATAATGTGCATGCAATTCTGCAGACGTCCAAGAGGACATTATTGTTGGCATATAATAATTAACATGGATGATAAAAGGCAATATAGAAGGTGAAACATGTGTATTTTAAATACTGCCTTTTATTTATTTTATTCACTGAACGTACTGTTTACTAATTATCTATATATATAATTCTCTTCTGGGAGTCGCTAGAAAACAAGCTGTAAACGCGCTCCCTACCACCCCCACCCCTACATGGTCTTAGTGAGCTGTGTTCACTCTAAATGTTTACAAGCAGAGCCGGGTTTAGTGACGACTATTAGGGGCAGATAATTTAGTTTGAAACGGGGGGGGGGGGGGGGGGGGGGCGGGGAGGAGGGTTAGGGTTAGACTGTGAGCACTATGCGCTTATGTTTGCATTTAAGGGGATATGCGCCTTTTTTTCTATTTTTTTTACAATTTAAGATCTAAAGCCTTTTATATACTATTACCATGTTTGGCACATGAAAGTATTATTAAACAGCAAAAAAAAGGTTGAAAACAATTTTGCTTGTCATGAAAACCCAAAAAAAAACTGCGATTCCTCTGCGATTTTGAATTTTCGGTACTTATAAAAATGTTAAGGCTTTTACTTTCTCGTTTACAAAGTATTGAGTCATAAAAATGGTATTCTAAACACATACATTTTTTTTTCTCATTAAGGTTATTATTTTCTTAATACAAAAATGGACTAAGTATCCAAAAGTGCAAGAAACCCATCATGACGAAAAACAAGAAATTTTGTTATTTTTTTTTCTGTTATCTTTTGTGTTTAGTTTTGTTCTGTTCCCAAGTTGGTACATTTAAAAAGATTCAACGTTGCGGAGCACGGGTATGCAGCTAGTAATAATATGTACAAACTGAGATCTTTTCTCTGTGTGTTAACACATAGTTCTTCTCCATGATCTCTTTGGCCTACCCACTTTCCTTTTGCCCTGGGGATTACAGTCCATAGCATTTTTTTTTGCAATATTTCCATTTGGTGTGCAATTCCCTTTTCTACTCTCTATTCTATTTTTAATAAACCGGGAGTAATCTCCCCTAAACTTTCTCGAATATTCTTATGTAAAACAACAGGGGATGGGAACTCTGGCTATAGACATGATTTTTAATCCATTTTAAATACTTAAAGTTTTAAAAATAGAATAAAATCTCGTAGACAAAAGAATTGCACACCAAGTGAACGCCATATAAAAAAGTGCATAATAGTGCGCAATATTATTAGTAAAATAAATAAAAATTTACATTAGTTTTTTGAGAAATCGGAAGTAGCGTAAATTACTACTACCGGTCAACGGAAATTTAACAGAAAGTAGAAAATTAGATCTTTTACTTATATGTGAAATTTCATTTATCTATCTGAAATAGTACTCAAGTTATAGGCTTTTGAAAAATTCAAAGTAGAAAAAGTTCCACTTCCGGTTATCGGAAATCGCTCAAAAGTTGATACGGATCTACGATTTTGATAAAATACTTGTATATGAAATTTCATCAACCTAGCTGTAACGGTACTCAAGTAATCGTGTTTACACACAGACAGACAGGCACACAGACATACGGACAGAATTGCAAAGCCCAGTTTTTCAGAATGGATTACGCATAAAACCTCTTAATTTTGATAAATCTGGATTGATAATTTTTGCCCGATTAAAATAAGTCCTCTATACTTCGGATGTGATGAAGGACTGATGTGTAATACGGTGAAAATTGTTAAAATTTCAAGAGATTTTTGTGCACGATTACAATACTTTCTCTATACTTCGTATATACGAGAAAGTAAAAATGTGAGTATTTTAAAAATAACAACATAAAACATTTCTATATCCTGACGGCATGAAAGTGCCATCCCATTACTGTTATATAAGAATATATGAAAAGTTTGGTGGAGACAACTCCCGCTTTATTTTTGTTAGTACTTTTTTAAATCCAGAGTTTCATAGCTTAAAACTAATGTGCACCAAAATGAACATGAAAATGCTAGTATAATAGTGTACGATAATAATTGAACCCCCCTAATTTATTTAGTACATTTTAATTAATTTAAAAAAAAATTAAATAGGCATCCAATTAAATGAAAGTTGATGTCAGATTAGATTGTCATGGGATGTCACCCACGTGCAAAGTTTGTAATTAATCAGTCGCAATTTTGCTTGGCAGTTTCAATCTATGACAAGAGACAGCAAGCAAGTTAAATAAAAGCTTGTAAAAAGAGAAGATTACTTGTGGTAATAACTTTCTAGATGAAAAGGTGTTTTGGGTCTAGCACAGATGAAACCCCAAATGTATGTGGCTGGCTGTAGGGGGCCAATCAAATGGTTGAAAACCATGACATTCTCTAGATCAGCAAATATGATGCACCTCATCTGGGCCAGGTACTTCACCTAAAATGTTGGTTGGACACTGTTACAGACACACTTGTTTCATAAACAATAAATGGTAATCTGGGCCAGGTACTTCACATAAAATGTTGGTTGGACACTGTTACAGACACACTTGTTTCATAAACAATAAATGGTAATGACAGAAGATAATGGTAGATGTTTATAGAGAAACATGGTGATGACAGAAGATAATGGTAGATGTGTATAGAGAAACATGATGATGACAAGATAATGGTAGATGTGTATAGAGAAACATGGTGATGACAGACGATAATGGTCAATGTTTATAGAGAAACATGGTGATGACAAGATAATAGTAGATGTGTATAGAGAAACATGGTGATGACAGAAGATAATGGTAGATGTGTATAGAGAAACATGGTGATGACAAGATAATAGTAGATGTGTAAAGAGAAACATGGTGATGACAGAAGATAATAGTAGATGTGTATAGAGAAACATGGTGATGACAAGATAATAGTAGATGTGTAAAGAGAAACATGGTGATGACAGAAGATAATAGTAGATGTGTATAGAGAAACATGGTGATGACAGAAGGTAATGGTAGATGTGTATAGAGAAACATGGTGATGACAGAAGGTAATGGTAGATGTGTATAGAGAAACATGGTGATGACAGAAGGTAATGGTAGATGTGTATAGAGAAACATGGTGATGACAGAAGGTAATGGTAGATGTGTATAGAGAAACATGGTGATGACAGAAGGTAATGGTAGATGTGTATAGAGAAACATGGTGATGACAAGATAATGGTAGATGTGTATAGAGAAACATGGTGATGACAGAAGATAATGGTAGATGTGTATAGAGAAACATGGTGATGACAGAAGGTAATGGTAGATGTGTATAGAGAAACATGGTGATGACAGAAGATAATAGTAGATGTGTACAGAGAAACATGGTGATGACAATATAATAGTAGATGTGTATAGAGAAACATGGTGATGACAGAAGGTAATGGTAGATGTGTATAGAGAAACATGGTGATGACAGAAGATAATGGTAGATGTGTATAGAGAAACATGGTGATGACAGAAGATAATGGTAGATGTGTATAGAGAAACATGGTGATGACAGAAGTTAATGGTAGATGTGTATAGAGAAACATGGTGATGACAGAAGATAATAGTAGATGTGTATAGAGAAACATGGTGATGACAAGATAATAGTAGATGTGTATAGAGAAACATGGTGATGACAGAAGGTAATGGTAGATGTGTATAGAGAAACATGGTGATGACAGAAGGTAATGGTAGATCTGTGTATAGAGAAACATGGTGATGACAGAAGATAATAGTAGATGTGTATAGAGAAACATGGTGATGACAAGATAATAGTAGATGTGTATAGAGAAACATGGTGATGACAGAAGATAATGGTAGATGTGTATAGAGAAACATGGTGATGACAGAAGGTAATGGTAGATGTGTATAGAGAAACATGGTGATGACAGAAGATAATAGTAGATGTGTACAGAGAAACATGGTGATGACAAGATAATAGTAGATGTGTATAGAGAAACATGGTGATGACAGAAGGTAATGGTAGATGTGTATAGAGAAACATGGTGATGACAGAAGGTAATGGTAGATGTGTATAGAGAAACATGGTGATGACAGAAGATAATGGTAGATGTGTATAGAGAAACATGGTGATGACAAGATAATAGTAGATGTGTATAGAGAAACATGGTGATGACAGAAGGTAATGGTAGATGTGTATAGAGAAACATGGTGATGACAGAAGGTAATGGTAGATGTGTATAGAGAAACATGGTGATGACAGAAGATAATAGTAGATGTGTATAGAGAAACATGGTGATGACAAGATAATAGTAGATGTGTATAGAGAAACATGGTGATGACAGAAGATAATGGTAGATGTGTATAGAGAAACATGGTGATGACAGAAGATAATAGTAGATGTGTATAGAGAAACATGGTGATGACAGAAGATAATAGTAGATGTGTATAGAGAAACATGGTGATGACAGAAGATAATAGTAGATGTGTATAGAGAAACATGGTGATGACAGAAGGTAATGGTAGATGTGTATAGAGAAACATGGTGATGACAGTAGATAATAGTAGATGTGTATAGAGAAACATGGTGATGACAGAAGATAATAGTAGATGTATATAAAACAAAGACTGACCTCAGGAGAAATCAACTTGTAGTGTGTATATCTTTTCACTGTGGTCCTTTCATTTCTTTTGAGGGGACGAGTTAGATGGAGGTTCAGGGAGGGGGTGATGAGCAAGGGCGGCTGTCTTTGCAGCCTTCCTATGAGAGATGAAGCCAGGTGGGGGGAGTGGGTCTGCTGTCTGTGAGGTCTCCACACAGCAGGTGTCACACACCTGGAGCACTTGTACCTGGTCTCATAAACCTTTGAATACCTGCTGGTTTTTTTCTCAATCAACTTTCTACGCAGTGACATCTTGCGCTGGCCAGTACAAGCAGACTTAGGTAGACTGGCAACTGAGATGAGAAGACTTTTAGTGCTTGCTCTCTCAGCTTTTGGTAGACAGCTTTCATCACTGGTGTTGGACAGTGTCTTGTCTGAATTCAGGCCAAATTCCATAGCTGTGGGGTCAGCTAGCATATACCTAGATTCCATAGCTGTGGGGTCAGCTAGCATATACCTAGATTCCATAGCTGTGGGGTCAGCTAGCATATACCTAGATTCCATAGCTTTGGGGTCAGCTAGCATATACCTAGATTCCATAGCTTTGGGGTCAGCTAGCATATACCTAGATTCCATAGCTTTGGGGTCAGCTAGCATATACCTAGATTCCATAGCTTTGGGGTCAGCTAGCATATACCTAGATTCCATAGCTTTGGGGTCAGCTAGCATATACCTAGATTCCATAGCTTTGGGGTCAGCTAGCATATACCTAGATTCCATAGCTTTGGGGTCAGCTAGCATATACATAGATTCCATAGCTTTGGGGTCAGCTAGCATAAACATAGATTCCATAGCTTTGGAGTCAGCTAGCATATACATAGATTCCATAGCTGTGAGGTTAGCTAGCATGTATGTAGCCTCCATAGCTTTGGGGTCAGCTAGCATATACCTAGATTCCATAGCTTTGGGGTCAGCTAGCATATACCTAGATTCCATAGCTTTGGGGTCAGCTAGCATATACCTAGATTCCATAGCTTTGGGGTCAGCTAGCATGTATCTAGAGGTCACAGTTTCGGGGTCAGCTTTGGTCAACCTAGTCTTGATGACTTTGCTGACCGGAACTATTTCAAGCTTAGCTCTTTTGGATAGCACTGGACCAGAGCCAGTGTTGGTACTGCCTCGTTTACGTTTGGTCACTTGGTTGGTATGGGGGACTTTCTGACCAGCTCTATACAAACCAGGGCGTTTGCTTGATTTGACATGTGCTTTGAATGAAACATTTTCACTGAAATCAGAATCCAAGCTAGAGTCAGAGTCTCCGTCAAATATACAGCACTGGTATCTAGCCTTCACAATGCTCCTTGGGCCCTCTGGATTGCTCAACATGGGGCCCTCTGGATTGCTCAACATGGGGCCCTCTGGATTGCTCAGCATGGGGCCCTCTGGATTGCTCAACATGGGGCCCTCTGGATTGCTCAACATGGGGCCCTCTGGATTGCTCAACATGGGGCCCTCTGGATTGCTCAACATGGGGCCCTCTGGATTGCTCAACATGGGGCCCTCTGGATTGCTCAACATGGGGCCCTCTGGATTGCTCAACATGGGGCCCTCTGGATTGCTCAACATGGGGCCCTCTGGATTGCTCAACATGGGGCCCTCTGGATTGCTCAACATGGGGCCCTCTGGAGGTTTGACTTGGCGTGAAGAAGAGTTGCCATGAGACTGTACTAGTTTTGATAGGCTAGAGTGAGGCCCACCCTCAACTTTTATGGAGGCAGAAGGGAGAGGGCAGCTGGATTTGGAGGATGCTGGTATGTAAGAGGAAAAAAGAGCTGTAGCAGCCCCTGAGGTGTGTTGGATGTTAGTGGCTGAACAGGAAGAGCCAGTGGTACGAAACATGGAGTGGCTTGTCTCACAAGCAGTGGTGATGCCAGTGATGCCACAGTGGAGGATAAAAGTCTTGAGACTTCTGGCTGGTAGAGTCAGTACTGGTCCTTGGAGAGGACAGTCCAGATGAATGCTCAGCCCTGAAGCTGGTACTCCCTGATAGATGTACTGGTGGCACTCAGCACACGCCTGGTCTGTCAGAAGCTCCGAGAATACATCCCTCTAGTCAACAAAAAATTAAACCCAGGTCACAACTTCCATCAAAGGGAGACAAGTCAACCAATAATTAAACCCAGGTCACAACTTCCATCAAAGGGAGACAAGTCAACCAATAATTAAACCCAGGTCACAACTTCCATCAAAGGGAGACAAGTCAACCACTAATTAAACCCAGGTCACAACTTCCATCCAAGGGAGAGAAGTCAACCAATGCTGACGTTGTTTGAAACTTACCACCAGCCTGCTGCACTTGGAGACCACTAGATGTTTGTCAGTTGTTTGAAACTTACCACCAGCCTGCTGCACTTGGAGACCACTAGATGTTTGTCAGTTGTTTGAAACTTACCACCAGCCTGCTGCACTTGGAGACCACTAGATGTTTGTCAGTTGTTTGAAACTTACCACCAGCCTGCTGCACTTGGAGACCACTAGATGTTTGTCAGTTGTTTGAAACTTACCACCAGCCTGCTGCACTTGGAGACCACTAGATGTTTGTCAGTTGTTTGAAACTTACCACCAGCCTGCTGCACTTGGAGACCACTAGATGTTTGTCAGCCAGGTGGGAGTTGAGCTGCTCAGCTGTTTCTATGCCACAAGCACAGTTCTGGCAGGACATAACAAATGGAACCTGCTGGCACCTGGCTAGCAGCTCCAGCATCAAGCGGGAGGGGACAGGGATCGGTGCTGCTGAGTTGAACTGCTCTCTGCTTTCTGAACACACAAAACATGACATCTACACTAACATGTTTATGGTGATATTTGGTGACATCAACATGTTTGTGTTGATATGTGGTGACATCAACATGTTTGTGGTGATATGTGGTGACATCACCACTAACATGTTTATGGTGACATGTGGTGACACCAACATGTTTACAGTGACATGTGGTGACACCAACACTAACATGTTTATGGTGACATGTGGTGACATCAATATGTTTATGGTGACATGTGGTGACATCAATATGTTTATGGTGACATGTAGTGACATCAACATGTTAATGGTGACATATGTTGACATCAACATGTTAATGATGACTACTGATCAGACATTTGCTATCCACATTCACACCTTTCACACATCCTCCATACCTGCAACAATCAAAGCTTTTGAGAAAACCACACAAAACAAATTGTCTCCACAGGACAAACGTGTACAACACAGTTCATATAGCACCACATAGGCCACACAAGCAGCACACATGACACACTAGCACCCCACAGGACACACTAGCAACACATGACACACTAGCACCACACATGACACACTAGCAGCACACATGACACTAGCACCACACAGGTCACACAAGCACCACACATGACACACTAGCACCACACATGACACACTAGCACCACACAGGACACACTAGCACCACACAGGACACACTAGCACCACACAGGTCACACTAGCACCACACATGACACACTAGCACCACACATGACACACTAGCACCACACAGGACACACTAGCACCACACAGGACACACTAGCACCACACAGGACACACAAGAACTACACAGGACACACTAGCACCACAGGACACACTAGCACCACACATGACACACTAGCACCACACATGACACACTAGCACCACACAGGACACACTAGCACCACACAGGACACACTAGCACCACACAGGACACACTAGCACCACAGGACACACTAGCACCACACAGGACACACTAGCACCACAGGACACACTAGCACCACAGGACACACTAGCACCACATAACACACAGGACACACTAAAGCCACAGACCATGTCAACTGGCTACCACACAGTGAAGAAGTAAAGCCCACCTTTAAAAACAAAGGCCGGACTATGGTGTGCTAAATTGTCCATGTGCTGGAGGGCGTGGCTGAGGCTGGAGAAGAAGCACAAACACTGTGGGCAGGTGAAGACTGAGTAGTGGACAGGGGAGAGAAGGGCTGAGTGGCCCAGCTGCAGCATGTGCTCTAGGCAAGCTTTCTCATCCTGTCAGAGGGAAAGGTTCAAATACAAATAAACACACACACACACACACTATATATATATATATATATATATATATATATATATATATATATATATATATATATATATATATATATATATACCTCAACATGCAAGTGGCACCTTGATATGTGAGTGCCCAAACATCCTGTCAGTTTATAGGAGAGATCAAAGAAAACTTAATATGTATTAACTATTATGGATCGTTGAAGCAGAACTCCAGTCATCAGAACAAATATGGAACATTCATATGCTTTGGGCAACTAGATCAGGGCAGCATGCTTTGGGCAACTAGATCAGGACAGCATGCTTTGGGCAACTAGATCAGGGCAGCATGCTTTGGGCAACTAGATCAGGACAGCATGCTTTGGACAACTAGATCAGGACAGCATGCTTTGGGCAACTAGATCAGGCAGCATGCTTTGGGCAACTAGATCAGGACAGCATGCTTTGGGCAACTAGATCAGGGCAGCATGCTTTGGGCAACTAGATCAGGACAGCATGCTTTGGGCAACTAGATCAGGGCAGCATGCTTTGGGCAACTAGATCAGGGCAGCATGCTTTGGGCAACTAGATCAGGACAGCATGCTTTGGGCAACTAGATCAGGGCAGCATGCTTTGGGCAACTAGATCAGGACAGCATGCTTTGGGCAACTAGATCAGGACAGCATGCTTTGGACAACTAGATCAGGACAGCATGCTTTGGGCAACTAGATCAGGACAGCATGCTTTGGGCAACTAGATCAGACAGCATGCTTTGGGCAACTAGAGGACAGCACGCTTTGGGCAACTAGATCAGGGCTGCATGCTTTGGGCAACTAGATCAGGACAGCATGCTTTGGGTAACTAGATGAGGGCAGCACACTGAATATTCTAAATATAAACATTTTAGCTGTAAAAACTTGTTTTAATTTACCCTCATCAATTTATATTTTCTCCTTACAAAAAACCTCAAACTGGGAGTAGTAATGTCTGATGGATTTTTGACAGGATTTTTTTTTATCATAGTTCAATTCAAACTTAACAGCACAGACATTTAGAATGTTTCTCTAAATGGAATTCTAATCTCTCCCCTGAACCAATATGAACTGTCTAAACAAGATTTTTAAAAATGGGTCCTCTCACCAAAAATAGTTGACCACATGAAGGACAGAGGTAGCCTCCCCTGCTAGTGACTGCTGCATTGACTAGAGTAGCCAATGGGCTGCATGGCGAGTGCTGCAGGCTGGTCAGATGGTCATCTAGTAGGGCCTGGTGGGAAAAAACCTTGCCACAGTTGAGGACAGGGCAGGGTAGAAGAACACTAGCCATCTGGGTTACAGCTGGACGCACAACTTGTGAGCAGCTGGACTCATGACTTGTGAGGGGGATGGCACAGTCAAGCTGACTGACACATGCTGAAGACTTAGATGGCGTGACTCTGCTCACTACTGCCTGGTTGGCTGAAGATTTTTCACACTGGTCAGGTGAAAGGCTGACTTGATGCCCAACTGCATTGTTTATAAATATACAGCTTCTTCTTTCTTCAGACTTGGCTGCACAGGATTCTTTGCTGGCATTCTGCAAATATTTGCTGGTGACATTCTGATCAGCCTGATTGTTGCTGTTGTGGTCAGCCTGGTTGTTGCTGTTGTGGTCAGCCTGGTTGTTGCTGTTGTGGTCAGCTTGATTGTTGCTGTTGTGGTCAGCCTGGTTGTTGCTGTTGTGGTCAGCCTGATTGTTGCTGTTGTGGTCAGCCTGGTTGTTGCTGTTGTGGTCAGCTTGATTGTTGCTGTTGTAGTCAGCCTGATTGTTGCTGTTGTGGTCAGCCTGATTGTTGCTGTTGTGGTCAGCCTGATTGTTGCTGTTGTGGTCAGCCTGATTGTTGCTGTTGTGGTCAGCCTGATTGTTGCTGTTGTGGTCAGCCTGGTTGTTGCTGTTGTGGTCAGCTTGATTGTTGCTGTTGTGGTCAGCCTGATTGTTGCTGTTGTGGTCAGCCTGATTGTTGCTGTTGTGGTCAGCCTGATTGTTGCTGTTGTGGTCAGCCTGATTGTTGCTGTTGTGGTCAGCCTGGTTGTTGCTGTTGTGGTCAGCCTGATTGTTGCTGTTGTGGTCAGCCTGATTGTTGCTGTTGTGGTCAGCTTGATTGTTGCTGTTGTGGTCAGCCTGATTGTTGCTGTTGTGGTCAGCCTGATTGTTGCTGTTGTGGTCAGCCTGATTGTTGCTGTTGTGGTCAGCCTGATTGTTGCTGTTGTGGTCAGCCTGATTGTTGCTGTTGTGGTCAGCCTGATTGTTGCTGTTGTGGTCAGCCTGGTTGTTGCTGTTGTGGTCAGCCTGATTTTTGTTGTTGTGGTCAACCTGATTGCTAATGCTTTGAGCTTGTATTGTATGGGTTGTTTGCTGACTGGGATACCAAATGGAATTATTGTTACAGTTGTTGGCTATGACTGAGGCATCCAGTGGATACATTTCCTCCATTTGAACTGGCTGACTGTGTTGGGAGAGCTCAAGTGCTGGGTTTTGCTGAAGCAATGCCTGTAAGTTGAGCTGGGTGGGTGAGATTTCAAGAGCTCTAATCCACTTGGCCAGATCTTCACATGAGCCCTGTCTCATGGCTGACATCCTATGGGAGGAGACTACAATGCCTGGATGGCCCCACATTTTACACACAGGTACTTCTGTTTCTTCCACACTGGAGGGGACCAAACTCAGGCCATTTGCCTCATTGTATTCCTCCATCAATCTTCTCTCATTGTATTCTTTCTTTGCTATCATGTCGTCTTGTTTATAGTATTTTAAAATTCCTTTTCTTGGCTGAACTTTGGGAAAGTGAAATGAAAAGCAGCAGTCCCCGAGGCCAATGCCTCCATTCAGTTTTCTTAAATTAGAAACTTTTAGCTCAAATTGCAAATTTTGGTTTAATGGACAACAACTTATTGATCTGAAAAGGCTATTTGAAGTTGAAGGCCTTGCTGATAGCTCTGTGCTACTTTGACTTTTCCCTTCTGGAAAGAGGATAATTTTTTTTTTTTTAAAATGTAATGTTTAATTATTCTTTTAAGTACCTTGTTTAAACCTAGTTAGTACATAATATGAGGACTCAGTGTTTCTCACCTAACTGACCCAGTTTCTCACCTAGCTGACACACTTTCTCACCTAGCTGACCCAGTTTCTCAACTACCTGAGCAAATGTCACTAGCTGCTGCAACACTTACCTGAATAAAAGTTACATCCTAGTGTTAAATCCTCAGTACACATCTTTAAGGGCTGGACATATAATTTATTTTCAGAAGATGAAACTTTCACATTCAAATTAAATCGTACTCTTTTTTTAAGTTGCTGTTGTTGACATTTTTTCTTGCGTACAACCTTTGCAACTGGGTGAAGAATTTGGAATGGTTTCCCTAGTTTGCTGGAAGTGCTATGCTTAGGTTTCATCCTTCACAGCATCAGCTTTCCCATCAACACAAATGTTTCTATCAAGAATATGGCAGTCAGAAAATAGTGACATTAGAACCAAAATGCTACTTCCTTGCCCCAAGCAGAAAAAGAAACATTTTAAAAATTCCCTTCAGTTCTACTAATTAACAGATACTACTATATATATATACTAGGCATGCTGCCCAGCTTCGCCTAGGCTTTCGAAAACATTGAGAATTTGAATGCTTAATTAATTCGCCCGAAGGTCGGTCTACGACCTCAAGAGTTATGAAGAGGTTCCTCCGTGGACATTTTTTTTCGATTTATAGCTCATATAAGGTACCGGTCAGTCGAGGTCAGTTTTGACCCCCACATCGTAGACTTTTCGGCCAACCGGCCCCCGTGTTCTGTCGCACCAAGGCAAGATCATGCCAAATTTGAAGCGCCTGCGGCGCCGGGAAGTGCCCTGTCGGACACCCGACAAAGAATTTTTTTTTTAAGTTTAGCCCGAGCATAATAAAAAAGAATACATTAACCAAGTTGACTTGCTGTGTCTCGAATCCGCACCACCTGCGTGGTTTAATGTACACTAACATCTCCGCTATTTAGGCACCTTATAAAATACGGTGAATGAAACACGTATTTTAAAATCTTAACTTACGCGAATATGCCTATTCTTTCAAATTAATTTTTTATCCCAAATTAGCCAGTTCCAAACAAAGATTTTGTATAAAATAAATAAGTCTTGAAATAGTTTAGTCCTAATATAGAAATTTATTTTTGGAATTGATTTTAGAGAAGTTAGAGTCTAAATCTAGATCTTAGCGTCTACGTCTAGATCTAGTTATTGCGTAGATTTAGATTTAGATTTAGTCTAGATCTAGAATCTCTAGATCTAGAATCCAAATACATAAAATAAATTTTATGAGTTTAGGCCGGAAAAATTGTATTGTATACATTTCATAGTGTACGTAGATCTAAATCAAATTTGAATGAAATAGTTCATTTCTTTTCATTCTAAACACGGCAGATGACGTCATTAGTTAATGTATAAGCAATAGTGACGTCACAGTTTTATGCGTTCTTTTTCACATATATTAATGCTTTTCCGGTTGCATAAATAATACTGTTTCTCTACATTCGAATACGCCTTTAATTTTTATTTTTCTTCTTTAACTAAAATTGTGGTTATACATTTAAAACATCTAACATATTATTTTCAACAAAAGTCCGTATAAAGTTCTGCATATATCGCTGCCGTTTCTGACGTGATGTCCGGCGAAAATATTTTGCGGACAGACAGAGAGAGAGAGAGAGAGAAGAGCGCACATGGCCTTTTATAAATTAGGATATATATATATATATATATATATATATATATATATATATATATATATATATATATATATATATATATATATATATATATATATATATATATATATATATATATAACTTTTCAGTAATAAACAAAGACCAGTGATGTTTTCTTCATCAAATGCAACCAAGCTCATTTACTTTTGCAGCCAATTTTGTTTAAGATTTTTGGTAAAATTATAGTTAGAGATTCAGGGGAAACTACTCTTATTTACAGGTGGCTGCTGTTTATATAGCACATCTTGCTCACAAACACTGCTGTTTAAAGTTAATTTCTTATTGATATATTTAGCCATTGATTTTGGTTTATTATTCAGTTCTCTATATTATTTGACACAAATAAATCCCAATATTCAATATAGATCTAGAATCTAGTAAAGAAATCTACAATATACCTCTATTAAAGCCTTAACAATGAGACGACTTTTTAGTAATCAACCGCTTTAGGTATGTAAAATCGGCCGAGACTAGTAAGGTGAAAAAAAGGTGACTCATTGAATTTTTGTAATATTTTTCACATTTTTACGAGGATTTATGTTTTTAAAGATACAAAAATGTTTCAAAGTTTCATTAATGTACCTGTTTTAAACAATTGTATTAAAACCTTTCAGTAAAAAATAAAGACTAGCGATGTTTTCATCAGATGTAACCAAGCTCATTTACTTTAGCAGCCATTTTTTTTTTTTTTTGGTAAAATTATATTTAGATATTCAGGGGATCCCCCTCTCTAACTAGATGGTGGCTGTTTATGTACTATAGCAAATCTTGCTCACAAACACTGCTGTTTAAAGGCAACTTTTTTGCACATTATTAGCCTCGGTCGATTTTACGCACCCAAAACGATAGATTAACAAATCATTATATTTATAATAAATTTAATAATTTATTAATGTTATTCATTTTAATAATTATTAATGAAAATTGAAATATTCTTCGTTAATTAGGTCATGTCCATTTTTATATTTTATAATAATTTGGTAATCTATCGTTTTAGATATGTAACATCGCCCGCGACTAGTAATGTGAAAAACAGGTGACTCCTTAAATTTTAATAATTATTTCACATTTTGAGGAGGATTTGTTTTGAAAAATACAAAAATGTTTCCTTGTTACATTTATGTACCTGTTTTTAAACAATTGAATTAAATTTTTAGTAATAAATGAAGACTAGCAATGTTTCCAACAGATGCAACCATGCTCATTTACTATAGCAGCCATCTTGTTTAAGTTTTTTTTTTCAAACTTAAAGCGCAAGATTCAGGGGAAGCCACTCTATTTTACAAACGGCTGTTTGCATAGCTAATCTTGCTCGAATCTTGCTCTCAAACACGGCTGTTTAAAGTTAATTTCTGGTCTTTATTGATATATAATATAGATCTAGGTAATCTATCGTTTTGGGTACGTAAAATCGCCCGCGGCTATTAATGTACGAAAACGTTACCTCATTGTCAAGGCTGCAATAGAAGTATATTGTGATATGTTTGTGTCAAATATTATAGATAAATGAATAATAAACCTAAATCAATGGCTAAATATATCAATAAAGGCCAGAAATTAACTTTAAACAGCAGTGTCTGCAAGCAAGATTTGCTATATAAACAGCAGCCATTTGTAAAATAGAGTGACTTCCGCCTGAATCTTGCGCTATAAGTCTATAAAAATAAAACTTTAACAAGATGGCTTCTATAGTAAATGAGCATGGTTGCATCTGTTGGAAACATCGCTGGTGTGCATTTATTACTGAAAAGTTTTAATTCAATTGTTTAAAAACAGGTACATAAATGAAACAAGGAAACATTTTTGTATTTTTCAAAACATAAATCCTCCTCAAAATGTGAAATAATTATTAAAATGTAAGGAGTCACCTGTTTTTCACATTACTAGTCGCGGGCGATTTTACGTACCTAAAACGATAGATTACCTAGATTTATATTATATTTAATTATATTTAGACATTGATTTAGGTTTATTATTCATTTATCTATAACATTTGACACAAATATATCACAATATATAGAATCTACTTCTATTAAAGCCTTTACAATGAGGTAACTTTTTCGTACATTTCTGGCCGCGGCCGATTTTACGTAGATCTAGATCTAGATCTAGATCTAGATCTAGATCTAGATCTAGATCTAGATCTAGATCTAGATCTAGACTAGCTACTGCTAGATCTAGAAATCTAGATCTAGAATCTAAAGTAAAGCGATGGATTACCATTATTTGTAATCGAGCCCTTTGTACAGACACATAGATCTAGAATCTAGATGTATTTAGATATCCTTGATTTACCTAAACTAAACAGCAACTGTGGACATAAAACGCTAATGTTTTATTTCACTATTGCTGCATTTGTTCACGAAACAACCATTCGTATTCTTGGTTGCCAGCAACTTCGGCCTAACTGTTAAAGTATCACTATAAAAAGTCTGCTGCGTTTTACCGAATTTACGAAACAATTTCCTTATTTTTGTATATGAGTGCTAAGCCTAGAACAGGGGTCGGCAACCTGCGGCTCGCGAGCCGCATGCGGCTCTTTGGATGTCAAGGTGCGGCTCTTCAGCTCCATGCACAAATATTAATAATTGTTTTATTTTAATTTCAAAACTCATAAAGATATTGTTCTGCAACACTCGGTAATGAAAGATAAAATAATAAACATAAACAATAAACACTCGCTATTCTATTAGAATATTTAGTTCCGCACTTTTTCAATGTACTTCCTATTAACTTGTCTATCCCAAACTGCAACATTCAACTTCATGGTGGAGATCATGAAGAAACTAAATGAGCTAAATCTAAAACTGCATGGAAAAGAAATCCCAGCCTATGCCTTGCTTGAAAAAGATGATTGTTTCGAAAAAAAATCACTTCATTTTGTTTAAGACCCGGAGAGCGGTAAATTACGTTTTTAGCGCAATTTCCATTCTGGAGAATTGCGTTTATTAACCCGTCATTTCTGGATGAATGGATGGATGGATGGATGTATGAATGTATGAATGTGTGTCCGCAGCTTTAAGTCGTATCTCCTCCTCAACGAAGCAATATCGATGACTAGTTCCAAAAGCAATTATGTTAAGTCAGTTACGAGGATGAGCATAGGCCATAAAAATTCCGGGTTTCTTTCATGGATTTCCCGGAAAAGCCAAAAAACCTCGAAAAAATGCAGTTTTTGGCCCATATCTCGGCAACCAGACCACTTAGCGACTTGAAACATGTACCAATCGATTCCTGCTATAATTTAGAACAATATTGCCGAAGAAAGTTTTCAAAAATATCCTTTCGTTCGGTCACAAAAAAAATTTTCAATTAATTTAAATTTTGACCGAATTAGTAGGCATTTTTTCCAACCACACCACACGCGTCATCACGTTCAATAGCGGCGCCATCACGTTCAATGGCTGCGTCAATCACGTTCAGTAGCTAGGCGCGCAATGGTTTTTAGTCATGTAACTATATTGTAAATAAAACATGTATTTTAACCAATGGTCTTACTAACCCTGCTCTTGATTTACGCTACGACAGAGCTATTTTTAGATAACATAAGGAAATTGCGCTTAAATGTCACTAGACTTTTTAATTAACTTGTTTTCGAAAAATCTGAAAAAAATATCATGATTAAACCAACGCTACAGTTACCATGAATCACATCAACATTACTATAAACACAATGAAGGATGGGTTCACTGAGAGATTTGAGCAATTCAATACAAATGCAAGTACTCTGACGTTCATAGTAGATTCTCTCAACACAAAAACAAATGAGATTAACTTTGAGCGATTTGGAATTGATCCTGGTTCGTTTCAAATTAAATTGATAGATTTGAAAACCAAACTTTTGTGGAGCGGTAAGTTCACATATCTCAAGAGCAAGTTAGGGGTCATCCATAAATGACGTCACACTCGTAGGGGGGAGGGGGGGTCCGTAATTTTGTGACGATGTGTGATGAGGGGGAGGGGGGGGGGGTTCAGATGTTGCGACGTCACATTTTTGCATTATAAAAAGCAATGTTAGAAAACAAATTTTAGACGTTATTTCGCATTTTAGATAACTGTTTTAATAGATTGTAATAGTTTAGACAAGATTTTAGAAAAATATCGATGTTTAAAAAAAAAGTCAACTGCAATTTTGAGGGGGGGTTGTAGGTTGAGGTGTGACGTCATTTTAGGGGGGGGGGGGTCTGGCTTTTTGTGACGACGTGTGACGGAGGGGAGGGGGGGGGAGGTAAAAATCGTCAAAAAAAGCGTGACGTCATTTATGGATGACCCCTTAGATGATTTGGAGGTCCAGTAAAACATGCACGTTTCACTGGACAGCTCTAAAACAGTGTTTCTTCCAGACTTTTTTCTCCGGGGGGGGGGCACTTGAAATTTTCGGGGGGGGGGAGCGGTAGACTTTCTTCGGGGGGGGGGGCGGACACTGTTAAAAGTATATATTTTCTATATAAATTATATAAATTTCATTTCGTTCGGGGGGGGGGGGGGCTGTAGATTTTTTAGGGGGGGGGGGGCTTAGACCCCCCCCCCCCCCGAAAAGATGCTGTAATAGATTTAGAATACAACGGACACAGAAGCCATCAGAATGTAGCTGTCTTTATTCGAAACCGGAAGAGAGAACAACAATAGAATAAATACAAGGGACATCACTCAATAACAACATTATAAATATAACTAATACAAGAAGAGTGAGTTCCCTTGACTTCACAAATCTCAATATATTACATCCCTTTACCCTTAGTGAACAACAACACATCTCTCAATAGAACAATTGATAGTATCCTAAAATCACCAAATATATTGTAACATGAACATTATGGTAGATTACACCCTTACAAACAATGCACAATATGCTACAACATAATCAAGATACAAAACAATGATGTCAAAGTCCTTTTGACCTTTAAATCATAGGTCTAACTTATCTGGGACTTTGATTGTCCTGTTTTACCTTCTCAGTGGCTTTTGATTTGGTGACTCAAGATTCTGACCATATGGATTCTCTATCTCAGGAGGTCTAGGATCTAAATCCTTAATTCCAGATTTTACATTTTCTGACTCTAGACTACTTGGTTCACTCATATCAACAGAACTTGGTTGTGGAACAAACTGAGTTGGTGTGAACTGATCAGATTTGGTGGGATTGATAGATTCACACTTATTATCTGCACAAGTTATTTTTAACTGGTCTGCATGTCTACGGACAATAAGTCCATCATTTGTTTTTACTTTATAAGACACAGGTCCTGTACATTGAACAATTTGACCTGGTATCCATTTTTCCTCTCTCCCATAATTTCTCAGATACACATTATCATTAACTGCAAATTCTCTTTCAATGGATGTTTTGTCATGATTTACTTTTTGTGTATGTTGATGTTGGGAAACAGACCTTTGAACAGTTGGATGTAGTAGGTCAAGATGAGTTTTAATTTTCCTACCACATAGCAATTCGCATGGTGCAACACCTGTTGTTATATGAGGAGTTGTGCGGTATTTGGCTAAGAACCTGTTTACTCTTTCATGGTCACATTTAGCTTCCTCTGTTTGGTATTTACTTTTGATTTCTAAATACCTAGAAGTTTCAGAAGTATTTGGCTTGTTAATCAATTTTACAGGTTTATCCTGGGATGTTTTTTTTTTTCCCCATTAAACGTGATGACGCGTGTGGTGTGGTTGGATAAAAATGCCTACTAATTCGGTCCAAATTTTAATTAATTCAAAAATTTGTTTGTGACCGAACGAAAGGATATTTTTGAAAACTTTCTTCGGCAATATTGTTCTAAATTATGGCAGGAATCGATTGGTACAAGTTTCAAGTCGCTAAGTGGTCTGGTTGCCGAGATATGGGCAAAAAACTGCATTTTTTCGAGGTTTTTTGGCTTTTCCGGGAGATCCATGAAAGAAACCCGGAATTTTTTAGCCTATGTTCATCCTCGTAACTTGCTTAACATAATTGCTTTTGGAACTAGTCTTCGATATTGCTTCGTTGAGGAGGAGATACGACTTAAAACTGCGGACACACATTCATCCATTCAGAAATGACGGGTTAATAAACGCAATTCTCCAGAATGGAAATTGCGCTAAAAATAAACCGGGAGAGATATACTTTATTATTTCGCTTCCTAATTTAAGCAACCTTGTAAAAAAAAAAACAACATTGAATTTTTGAATTAGCTTAAATTTGGCAATGTACAGAAATAACTTTTGACGATGTTACACTTGTTCACTTTAAACACTGGAAATGTTTTGACATTCCTCATCAAATGCTTGACTTGTACCCCAGAATAGTAACAACCAGCTATTATTATTCAATCAATTCCCAGATGCGATCCAGAGGTCTAGAATTCAATTCACATACATGATCTAGTCAACTAATGCAGTTTCTTCCAGGCATCTCTTCCGAACGAAAAATATACACCTTTAACAGTGCACCCCCCCCCCCGAGAAAAAAGTCTGTAAGAAACCCTGAACTAATGTACCTTGACGCTGATGACAGCTGTATTGCGTAAAAATTTTGCTCTGGCGTAGTTTATTTTAATAGTTAATTAAGTGGTTAGGCTTCAAGTGCAGAAATGCTCAGAATTTTTTTTTTTTACATCACAGTTCATAAATAAAGTACAGTCCAAAACATTACTTGAGGAAAGATTTGAAAACCAAAACTTTATGGTTGCATAAACAATTTACTTTGACAAGGGTAGCGTAGTTATCAAGCATAAACATAGAAAAAAAAAATCCCATCTGAAACATGCTTGCAGTAACAACATGGTGTCAAGGTCATTCAGTTTTCATGGTCATGCCAGATTCTCATAGCCATGTATTGTAGAGATATTAAAATCAAGCAATTAGACGCACTCATACCTTAAACCACTTAAAACTACAGCAGTCAAGCAGACACACCTGACTCAATATACAGCAGTCAAGCAGACACACACACCTTGATTTGAACCACTTAAAAACTACAACTACATAGAAGCAGTCTATAGCAATAAATACATTCTCTGTTCAACTCTATGGTCAGATCACATGAAAACAATCAACAACTACATTTCTTCCTTGGTGTCATACTCAAACTCTGGTCAAATAACAAAGCAGTACAACCACTGGGTTCTCCACCTAGATGTCATCTATGGTGGAACAGGGCAGCAGGGTTCTGCTCCACCTAGATGTCATCTATGGTGGAACAGGGCAGCAGGGTTCTGCTCCACCTAGATGTCATCTATGGTGGAACAGGGCAGCAGGGTTCTGCTCCACTGAGATGTCATCTATGGTGGAACAGGGCAGCAGGGTTCTGCTCCACTGAGATGTCATCTATGGTGGAACAGGGCAGCAGGGTTCTGCTCCACTGAGATGTCATCTATGGTGGAACAGGGCAGCAGGGTTCTGCTCCACTGAGATGTCATCTATGGTGGAACAGGGCAGCAGGGTTCTGCTCCACCTAGATGTCATCTATGGTGGAACAGGGCAGCAGGGTTCTGCTCCACTGAGATGTCATCTATGGTGGAACAGGGCAGCAGGGTTCTGCTCCACTGAGATGTCATCTATGGTGGAACAGGGCAGCAGGGTTCTGCTCCACTGAGATGTCATCTATGGTGGAACAGGGCAGCAGGGTTCTGCTCCACTGAGATGTCATCTATGGTGGAACAGGGCAGCAGGGTTCTGCTCCACTGAGATGTCATCTATGGTGGAACAGGGCAGCAGGGTTCTGCTCCACCTAGATGTCATCTATGGTGGAACAGGGCAGCAGGGTTCTGCTCCACCTAGATGTCATCTATGGTGGAACAGGGCAGCAGGGTTCTGCTCCACTGAGATGTCATCTATGGTGGAACAGGGCAGCAGGGTTCTGCTCCACCTAGATGTCATCTATGGTGGAACAGGGCAGCAGGGTTCTGCTCCACTGAGATGTCATCTATGGTGGAGCAGGGCAGCAGGGTTCTGCTCCACCTAGATGTCATCTATGGTGGAACAGGGCAGCAGGGTTCTGCTCCACCTAGATGTCATCTATGGTGGAACAGGGCAGCAGGGTTCTGCTCCACCTAGATGTCATCTATGGTGGAACAGGGCAGCAGGGTTCTGCTCCACTGAGATGTCATCTATGGTGGAACAGGGCAGCAGGGTTCTGCTCCACCTAGATGTCATCTATGGTGGAGGACACAAGTGTAAAAAAGACTATCACATAATGAGGGGGGTCCACTGTTGCATTCACTGACTCATCAACTAAGGCTGGTCATCAGCAATGAATTCACTTGACAATTATCTGCTTACAAGTTTCAAGGTTGCCTGAGCCCAGTCACCTGACAACATTATGACCCAACCAATCAGCTCATCAGTCACCTGACAACATTATGACCCAACCAATGAGCTCATCAGTCCCCAGTCACCTGACAACATTATGACCCAACCAATCAGCTCATCAGTCACCTGACAACATTATGACCCAACCAATGAGCTCATCAGTCTACAGTCACCTGACAACATTATGACCCAACCAATGAGCTCATCAGTCCCCAGTCACCTGACAACATTATGACCCAACCAATGAGCTCATCAGTCACCTGACAACATTATGACCCAACCAATGAGCTCATCAGTCTACAGTCACCTGACAACATTATGACCCAACCAATGAGCTCATCAGTCTACAGTCACCTGACAACATTATGACCCAACCAATCAGCTCATCAGTCTACAGTCACCTGACAACATTATGACCCAACCAATGAGCTCATCAGTCTAGTCACCTGACAACATTATGACCCAACCAATGAGCTCATCAGTCCCCAGTCACCTGACAACATTATGACCCAACCAATGAGCTCATCAGTCTATAAAAACACACAGTCAGTATAACAGGATAGAATAAAGCCCCCCCCCCCCCCCCCCGTTCTATAGGACAGGTTATTTACATTGTCATTGCATCTGACACTAGCTTTACATCCATTATAGAAACAATCAAACTGAAAATAAGTAAGAATGCAGGTGAGATATACATCTGATATTTGAAACTTGAAACATTCCAATGAGATGCTAGCACAAATGACACAATATCCAATTCAAAGTTGTACTGAAAACATCCGTGGGGTGAACAATTGTGTGCTAGCTATGAATGAGCAAGTCCACTTGAAGCAACCTGAGCTAGCTCTGACAACACGTGGCTAGATGTGGCTCAAATAAATATGTGACAATCTTTGGTGTAGACATCAGGCAGGGCCTTCTCACTCCATCTTCAAGAGCTCCATGTCAAAAATCAGGGTTGCATTTTTTGGAATAGTGGGAAAATTAAGGTCAATATAGCATTGTTACAAGCATGGCCTATAATACTGTAAACCTGCTGGAGGAAACTCAATCAAAAATTGCTGTCGACTCAGTGGAGAAGAGATAGATTGACCATTTGAAACCCCAGTAACAATGTGTTGAATGAACACAACTACAGACACAGAGCAAATATTTTCCTCTAGTAACATACAGCACAAACAACACACTAGCAGATCAGCTAAAATATTTCTACACTTCTTTTTGCTATTCAGATAAAATCAATTGGTTATAGGTAATGGGAATGGTGCTCCACAATAAAAAGTTGACAAGTTTTAAAATGCTACTAGAATAGGGTGTCGCCTAAGATTTTAAACTTCATTATTTTACCTTTAATTTAATACCAATTTTATTCATCAAATTTAATTGGTAGCCTAGAAAATGATTTGTGAAAAAACGCGTTTGTTTTTAAATTACTACAATGATTGACTGATTTTCAGTTGTAGGTGGGTTAGTTTTGTAAGGAATGTTGGTTTTACCCAGCATGATTTTAAAAACATTAATAACACTAGTTTAGTAGAAAGCATGTTATAATTTTATGTAGTTTATAATATACGAGCCGACCCGCGGCGTATCATACGCCGCTATTTAGTTGTTTTATTTTCTACTTTTCAGTAATTCATAATCTGTGAATTCGACAGTACTAATGCTGCCACTGAAAATATTTGCTTTAAAACACTAACCCCCCCCCCCCCCCCCCCCCCCTTCCCCTAACCCTACACCCCCCCCCCCAGTGAAAGCAGCCTCCTCCTTAGTTACCGCCTGTAAGTTTAAAATCGTTTCAAACTAAATTAGCTGCCTCTAATAGCCGTCACTAACCCCGGCTCTACGATTTGTAAACATTTAATTTAGCGTGACCACAACTCACCAGACCATGTGGGGGTGGGGTGGGGGTGGTAGTGATAGTGATAGAGAGAAAGAGAGGGGACTATAAGGAGGCGCTTGCAGCTTGTTTTCTAACGGCTCCCAGAAGAGAATTATATATATAGATTTTCAGTATGTTTAGAACAATATTAAATAAAGTAATTCACGTTTTGCTTACTTTTATTATGTTCTGCGATTAGACAAAAAAAATACCCAAATGGCAAGTTTGCATCAAACACTAATAGTCCATTGCTAAAACTAGACCGGTATCGTTGAATAATATGCAAAAATAACGATTTTAAGTATATATTTCTGAAATGACCATGAAACATTGTTAAAAAAAACCTGAATCACTATATCGTCATTTTGGCAGCCATCATTACCATGACGTTAAAAAAAGTAGGTCAAGTGACAGGCTACTCCTAGAACATAAGGATATCAACTAGTTCAAATAAGGGCAATAACCTGCATTTAGCAGCTAAACAAGGGACAGTTTAAAATAAATTTGGCACTACATCTGAACCTTTTACATATCTGACACAACCGTAACTATACAATCACTGCTCTAGGAAAATTTAAATTAAAAAAAAAATTAAAAAAAAAACAAAGTACAGAAAGAAAAAAACAAAGTACAGAAAAAAAAAAGTTAATTATCAGTTGCTCAACATAGCTCAAAATTTCAAGTCAATAAAAGGATATACACCAGGATAGCCCCTAGAACCATAGGCCAAATCTGGGGAGCAGACTAGCCTGGCCCTCTCACCCAGACTCATCTGAAAATGATGCAATGGTTGACTCAGTTTAATAAACTACAGAACCAAGTCAGGGAATACAGAACCAAGTCAGGGAATACAATAGCTACAGAACCAAGTCAGGGAATACAGAAACAAGTCAGGGAATACAGAAACAAGTCAGGGAATACAGAAACAAGTCAGGGAATACAGAAACAAGTCAGGGAATACAGAAACAAGTCAGGGAATACAGAAACAAGTCAGGGAATACAGAAACAAGTCAGGGAATACAGAAACAAGTCAGTGAATACAGAAACAAGTCAGGGAATACAGGGAATACAGAAACAAGTCAGGGAATACAGAAACAAGTCAGGGAATACAGGGAATACAGAAACAAGTCAGGGAATACAGAAACTACAGAAACAAGTCAGGGAATACAGAAACAAGTCAGGGAATACAAAAACTACAGAAACAAGTCAGGGAATACAGAAACAAGTCAGGGAATACAAAAAATACAGAAACAAGTCAGGAAATACAAAAACTACAGAAACAAGTCAGGGAATACAATAGCTACAGAACCAAGTCAGGGAATACAATAACTACAGAAACAAGTCAGGGAATACAATAGCTACAGAAACAAGTCAGGGAATACAGAAACAAGTCAGGGAATACAATAACTACAGAAACAAGTCAGGTAATACAGAAACAAGTCAGGGAATACAGAAACAAGTCAGGGAATACAAAAACAAGTTAGGGAATACAACAACTACAGAAACAAGTCAGGGAATACAGAAACAAGTCAGGGAATACAAAAACTACAGAAACAAGTCAGGGAATACAAAAACAAGTCAGAGAATACAAAAACTACAGAACCAATTCAGGGAATACAGATGAGACTTGGTATATTTGATCTGACGACAACTTATCATTGGATGTTCCTACTTTCACCATATAGCTTTCTTACCTTGGACACACCTTCATCCCACCCTGAAACAAAAAAATTCAAATGGTTTTACAGAAGCTAGGACTATATAAGCCAGCATATAAGACAAGCCAGGGAAAAGCAAGGGGTCTTCTTGTATCCTGGCTGGTGTCAGCATCATATTTTTACAGGAAAAATAGATGTGTGTGGTGGGGGGGGGGGGGGGGGGGGGGTGTAAGAGGAGAAATTATGGCGTATCTAAATCATTCTATTGATATAAAAACATTTATAGTAACTTTGAAATAAAAAAAAAACATTTTAAAGACCAAATATCATGGTTTGCTATATATTTCAATGACTTCGGCAAATGAAGGAACAATGTACTCAGCAGTTTGCCCAGCCCCATTAACTTTCCCTTAACATACAAAAACCCGGGATTCAAACTCGAATATAAATATACAATATAAATATACAAACTTACAATTTTATTTTTTTCTATGCCACTAACTTTAATATATTTAAAAGGCACGCAAAAACAATACTTTCTGCAATTGAGTGACTTTTTAAATCGATTTGCTTTATCAGATCATTAACAACATTATCTAAATTACAATTGTAGTACATTGTATTTAATATCATTCTTCCATGTGTGAAAGTTGCAAACAAAATTTTCCCCACTTGAACAAACCAATTTGTTTTATACTGGACACAAGGGCCAAGCAACATTGACAATGGCATGAAACATGAACTCTAACGGGATCGGAATTAATTTTAAATACAATATTAGTGTGAATGGCTGGAGTGTGTCTGATTATTATTATCTTTAGGTTAAAATGCAAATGTCGCTTTTTGAGTTCCTGTTGAGGATTGTTGTGGTATTTAGTTAAGTAGTCCACTATTATGGCACGGATGTGATTTTGATTTTAAAATTGTTTATGGTCGCTTTGTGTGTCTTGTTTATATTTTGTTATTAATATTTTAAAGTGTCTTTTGATATAATTCTGGCTAATGTTTCGTGATGTGTTGGTTGTTATCAGTGGTTTAGGGACTAATTGTGGAAGCGTAGTGTATGTATGTCCGGTTTATTAGAAAGTTTCAGCTTCCTTTTTTTTTTGAATGCCAAGGGGATGAGGAAGGTGTCTGTCTGGTCAGAACCTAGACCATCCGTTGTAATCAAAAGCATTCACCTGTCCATCTGTATATAAAAACAGTTTTTTTTATGTTCAAGAAGTCTGGTAAGATAGTTGCTTTTATTATTTTTTATTTTCAGTTATTCTACAATTTTCCAGCCAATATTAACTTGGACTTGTTGTCACCATTGTGGTAGTGTCATTTTATTTTCAGTTATTCTACAATTTTCCAGCCAATATTAACTTGGACTGGTTGTCACCATTGTGGTAGTGTCATTTTATTTTCAGTTATTCTACAATTTTCCAGCCAATATTAACTTGGACTGGTTGTCACCATTGTGGTAGTGTCATTTTATTTTCAGTTATTCTACAATTTTCCAGCCAATATTAACTTGGACTTGTTGTCACCATTGTGGTGGTGTCATTTTATTTTCAGTTATTCTACAATTTTCCAGCCAATATTAACTTGGACTGGTTGTCACCATTGTGGTAGTGTCATTTTATTTTCAGTTATTCTACAATTTTCCAGCCAATATTAACTTGGACTGGTTGTCACCATTGTGGTAGTGTCATTTTATTTTCAGTTATTCTACAATTTTCCAGCCAATATTAACTTGGACTGGTTGTCACCATTGTGGTAGTGTCAGGCCACGTGGGGCACCCAAATTTACTTTTCTTAAAAAGGCATGGGTTGCTCATCAAAGTTTCTATTTTCTATTTGCAGTGCATTCAAAGCTCATTATAAAGGTTTTTTTCTATATTAATTTAATTTTCCTTTTTACTTTCTCGTATACAAAGTATAGAGGAAGTATTGTAATCGAGCAAAAACATTGAAATTGAGATTTTCACAAATCTTGACGTTTTACACTCCCTCCCCCCCCGAGTCGGAAAAACAATTTTGCCCTTATATTTATAAATTTATGAACACAATAACTTGAGTATCGTTACAGCTAGGTTGATGAGATTTCATATATAAGTATTATATCAAATTTGTAGTTGTGTATCAACTTTTCAGCCCTATTTTTGATTTCTAAAAAACACATGAATTTATTAAGTACTAACATTCCGTACTATTATACATACATTTCTGTTCACTTGGTGCTCAATGCTGTTTCCTACGAGATTCTATTCTATGCAAAAAAATCTCAAGTAATTAAAAATTGATTATAAACTATATATATCCCGAGGTGCCACCCCCCCCCCCACTAGTGCTATGTAAGAATATTAGGAGCAAGTTTAATGGAGATCACTACCACTTTATTTTAGTTATTCGTTCTAAATTAAACTGACACCACATATACTATGACTAGAAATAATTTCCTTAAAACCTAATATTCTTGCAATTCACCACAGAAAAATCTATCTTGAAATAAAGTCACAAGATTTGCCACATCCCACAAACTTGTGAACTAAATAAAAGCATATAATTAATAGACTACATTTCTGCACATGCCCTATTAAGATATAGACGTGGGCATATGCATTTTGTAATACACAAAATGAATAATCTCACTCATATTGTTAGTATACATATACAGTGGAGTGCTATACTATAATATTTTTAAAAACCAACTTATTAAATTTTGTATGTTTCTTAGTTTTCCACTTCTAAATATAAATAAAAATTAATATCTACTCTAACCAAATGGCAATTAAACACAAACCTTTTATAACTTCTCCTTTACCTATGCGAAATTTAAAAGGGTTTCCTCTATCACGAGATGAATCAATTTTCTGCCCATCAACTAAAGATGCTAAAAAAAAAGGAAGATAATAAAAAAATAATTGATATGTCATTGTCAAAATAGAACATGCACATAAATATTCCACCTCATGTTGTAAAGCAGCACATTCTCCACTCAGGAGACGGTTTAAATTGTCTTCCAACCATTCAGGCCTAGTGTTTCAGCAGCTGAACCCAGTTGAGTAGAGGGTGTAAGGTTTGCCAAAAAGAGATTACAGATAATTCAGGTAACCAAACCAATTTGGCTGTGATATATGAATGTGAATATGAAATTAATTCTTTATGCATAAAAAGTAACTTAAAAAATAGGATGGTGGGGTCATGTACTTGAGTGTTTGACTGCTAACCTCTAGGTCTTTATTTTCAAGTTGCAATAATGGAGGGTAACAAAAAGATTTGCTTTTAAAATATTTGTTTTTTATATTATGCTACTTAATGTACTTATATTCCAAGCACAAAATAATAATAATAGAAACATAAAACACATTTATAATAATAAGTTTTTAAATTTTAAAAAAAAATTGATTTCTTTAGCACTGGTTGATCATGAGATCTCTTAGATGTTTTAGCGACCAACAATTTTATTAAAGAAAGAAAGTTTGCTTCATTTTCCTATTTTCAGTCCATTCAAAAGCTTATATTATTAAAAAGGTATTTAATCAATATTTTGTTATATTTTCCACTTTTTAGTAATTTATTCTAAATTGACACTACATAAACTTGAATTAGCCTTAAAATTAAAACCCAATAGATAGCCTACAAACTTTTAAAAACAATTATGTGCCCCTTCTAAGTGTGTGGTCAACGCTCCAACTCGAGCAATAACCCTTTTACTTAAGTAATCTTTTAATTAAACTTTAATGACTGATCTAAATAGACTAAAATGAGATACTCTTGCATTGTCATCAGAGACTGATTTATCTGGTAAGTTGAAACAAAATTGATGCATTAGATTAATTAGAGTTAGAAGCTTTGGCACAACCCACAACAAACATTGTGAACTAAATAAAAGCTTTTAAAAATAGTTCTCTCTACATCAGTGGTTCCCAACCTTTTTCGAGTGGCGACCCCCTTTTTTAAAAAGTAAGTGACCCGCGACCCCCATAGAATTAAAAAGCCGAAATTAATATGGAAATTAATAAGCACTAAAATAAAATTTTCTAGTAGACTTTCAATATGAACTACTCTTGATAACTGTTTTAATAGCATGAGTAAAATTGCATACTATTCATATAAACCTTCGTGGTTAACTTTTTAATTAATTTTTATGTTAACGCCAACCTATGTCATTATAATTATCTTAATTTTGTTTTTAATCGAAGAATAGTGTTGAAAATATATTCTCGAAAAGTCAATCAATTTTACGTTTGGGTATGAATGGTGAATACTACACCGAAATTGTGTCTGCAGTTTTTCATCCTACTCTGAATCATTCTGCAAATCAAAGAATTCATCTTGTAATTCATCTGGGATGCTGGCAACATCAAAGGAAGAAGAGAATGGATAATGCATAAATGCAGATTCTTCTTTTTTTCAGCTCAGAGAAATAGCGATGCAGTTCGTTTTCAAGAGATTCAAGATGCCCAGAAATCGCTTCTTTCAAAATTTTAATTATCTCACAATCAGATTCATCTACCACACCGCAGAGTTTCTCAAATTTACAATATTTCCAAGATTTATTTTCTTTACAGATTTTGCAGTTTTGATAAAATTGCCCCGAGATTATCATGGAAAGTTATAATATTCGTTCATTTTCCCTGAAGCTTCAGGTTAAGCTTATCTTGATGTTACAACACATCTGCTAGGTATGATACTCTCTCCAACCACTCTATGTCGTTTTAAGTATACCAAAAAGTCTTGTTTACTTTGCACTTCCAATAACAATTTAATTTCAGATTTCAATTCAAAAACACAATTAACAACATTTTTGCAGCGTACTGTAGTGTAGAAGAGCAGAACCTCGTGATCTACATTAATGTTTTTGCTCAGTTCTTTGAAGGTTCCAGATTTTATATAATTTACGACTTATACTAGCAATGGACTCTTGATGTCGATTGGTTAGGGAAGTGGTTAGGGAGCTAAATCTTTTCTGTTTTCTGAAAGCCCGATTTTGAGCTAAACATAGATGGCGCGCCATCCGTACAAACCCCCACAGCCGTTCTAACCCATTTTAATCATCCAGTTTTTAAAAAAGGTATTTATTTTCTCCATGCTATCTTCACAAAAGAGCAACTCTTCTTTGCTATCATCCGCATGAATATAGACACAGACCAGCAACTGCCAACACGAACTCACGTCTGTTGATTTATCAACTTGAAAAGCAAACAATTGTTAAAGCTTAATTTCAATAAAAATGTGTTATTTAACATTTACGTACATGCAGCGTTTGATGAGATTTTCTCCTATTGTTTTTTTTTTTTTTTTTGCTTGGCATTTTCTATCGCGACTTCATGTGATGCTTGCACTAATCCTGGTGAAAACTTTCTGTTCGATCAAGTCTCTGGCGTTTGCAACTAGCTTCATAACGACGAAAGAACTCCATATATTTTTTGGTGTGTTCCGAATGACTCGTCTCAAATGAGTTTTAGTTTTGAAGATTTCATAGATTCGTGACTGAGAACAACTTTGTACAGTGCGCTTTGTTTCTTCTCTATTACATTTCCAGTGATGTTAATGAAGCCGAAGTTCAAAAAGTCTTCTAAATATTTATGTTTTGTTTCAAATTACTAAGGTTTAGTATACCAGTTGGCGACCCCTCAGAAAGACCTTTGCGACCCCCAGGGGGGTCGCGACCCCCAGGTTGGGAACCCGTGCTCTACATAAATGGTTTACACATTTATACTTTTCTATATCCATTCTCTAATGATACCTGGCAGTTCAATTAATGAAAGGCAACACAATTACACCACTCTTCTAGAATTGCATTTACTAGTTTATTTCTTGAGAACATTTATATTTTTAAACAATTTTAATGAGCAAAACAGTTCATTATATTTATAAGGAGAAAAATTTTCTGAGGTGAAAACGTACCTGTATAGTGTATCACAACCGTTTGACCTGTCTTTGGATAAGTAGCACCTGGAAAGAGTTTAATGTAAATAATCACTAATAAAACAACCAAAACAACAGTAAAATAAAAGCTTTTTAAAGTAGTAATAGTTGGCTGTTCTGTTCAATTTGAAGACAGTGTACCTGGACTGTCAGGTAAAAGTAACTTTAATAAGTTAATTAGAGATTTAGTGTAAAGTTAAAAGGCTTAAGCGTTTTGATTTCTTAGGTACAATCAGCCAAATATCTATCAGACTATGGTGCTGTTTACTTAATTAGCTTTCATGCTCACAAAAGAAATGAAACTTCCTTTCTTTTGTAAAAGCATTTGTCATTCAAATGATTATAATAGAGATTTCATGACAAGCTATTAAAAGGGGTGTTTGACTACACGCAAATTTTACCTGGAATATTTGCCTTGATGAATGATAACATTGATGATTTGTTATGTTTATTTTAATACTTTTAAAAAAGCTTTTATTTTACTGTTGTTTTGGTTGTTTTATTAGACTAAGTAGATAAGTAACTCTATAGAGTAGTAACAGGTAGCCCAAACTATGCCCAATTTTTTTCAGTCATCTAAAATTAATTTTTATAAAGTAAAAATATTAATTGAAAATTACAAGAATTCATTTTGCTTACTTTTATTTTTAGAGCAAAAAAAGAGAAACATGACACAATTTAAAAATTTGTAAAAATAAATAAATTTGTTTTTGAGATGGAACAATAATTGAAATGTCACAATGAAGAAACATTAAGCAGAACAGCATGCTCTCGGTTTTGATGGCACAAAGAAATATTTACAAGTATTGAAGACAGGCACAAAGTACCCACCACACAATATATTAGAAAATCATAGTTATGAAATGCATGGTTTAAAAATGAAAATTGTCATTCAACTGTATAAAAAAAAACAACCATGTAAGTACCCAAACAAATAATCATGAGCACAATGAACAGCTAAAGTCAATAAAGTTAGTTGACAAATAAGCATTGAGTGATAGTAAATATTCACTATAAAAAGGTTGATATGACAACAATTAACTTGTAAAACAATAACTTGTACATCAAATGAAAGATAATTTAAAATTTAAGCAACATAAAACATTAAAACTTCAAGTATATTTACTCAAAAGAACTTTGCCGAAGAAGAATTGGTTGTATATCAGAAGTGGCACTCTGATCTCTACAACATGTGAACTACCAGTAGTAGGCACTCTGATCTCTACAACATGTAACTACCAGTAGTAGGCACTCTGATCTCTACAACATGTAACTACCAGTAGTAGGCACTCTGATCTCTACAACATGTAACTACCAGTAGTAGGCAATCTATCTCTACAACATGTTACTACCAGTAGTAGGCACTCTGATCTCTACAACATGTAACTACCAGTAGTAGGCACTCTGATCTCTACAACATGTAACTACCAGTAGTAGGCACTCTGATCTCTACAACATGTAACTACCAGTAGTAGGCACTCTGATCTCTACAACATGTAACTACCAGTAGTAGGCACTCTGATCTCTACAACATGTAACTACCAGTAGTAGGCACTCTGATCTCTACAACATGTAACTACCAGTAGTAGGCAATCTATCTCTACAACATGTTACTACCAGTAGTAGGCACTCTGATCTCTACAACATGTAACTACCAGTAGTAGGCACTCTGATCTCTACAACATGTAACTACCAGTAGTAGGCACTCTGATCTCTACAAAATTTAACTACCAGTAGTAAATTAAGAAGAGAGCTTGTTAGTTGGTGTTTTTAAAATGAGATGAAGCTATAGCATTCATCATTAATGTGAAAGTGAAGCAGAATCTAAAACTGAATGGGAGTTATTTGGTCCCTCAAGTGCTGCAGTGGTTGATCAAACACATTTTACTTTCCTCACAAACATGGTATTTATAACTGCTGCAGTGGTTGATCAAACACATTTTACTTTCCTCACAAACATGGGATTTATAACTGCTGCAGTGGTTGATCAAACACATTTTACTTTCCTCACAAACTTGGTATTTATAACTGCTGCAGTGGTTGATCAAACACATTTTACTTTCCTCACAAACATGGTATTTATAACTGCTGCAGTGGTTGATCAAACACATTTTACTTTCCTCACAAACATGGGATTTATAACTGCTGGTGGGACAGTTTCTAGAAGCATATTTCCACAACTTTATGTCTTATCGCCCTCAAACTTGTAACGATGGAGCATCATAACTAAAATGTAAAGGGCTTGGCCTTCTTTCTTTTCCTTCTGAGAGAAAAGCTCTAGTAAGGCCATCATGAATTCTCCAGCTGTGGAATAAACAATGAATGTAGTTATTAATAAAATATAATTAATTATATATCAATTAATTTATGTAGGAGCCTATAGTATACTTACAAAGATTTTTGATAGTGCTGATTGAAATGAGCATTGCTGTTGCCATGCAGATTGAGATATCCATCAATGAACCTGATGTCATACTGTGGTTTTCAATAATATTTTGGACAACTGAACTGCCCTTCAATGCCATATAAAATAAATAAATTATGAGAAAAACTACTATTTACAATTGTAATAACATTTAAAACATAGTCATAAGAACTAAAATCTCAACAACCTGAACCAGCATCTAAATTGATTTACATTCTACTAACTCTAGTATGCCTAAAATAGACATTTAAGAGACCATTTCTCAATAGGTAAATAAGAATCAAGAATGAAGAACAAAAATTAAAAATAAAGATAGCTATGAGATAGTTTGGTGGCCAATTTGAATTTGTTGATTCATAATTTTGATGCGAAAGCCCAGATAAACATTAATATGGCCTTATCATTTAATCACATTTGATAAAATTTTAAATAAAACATTTAACAATCACATCTAATAGTTAAGTACATCCATGTTTTAAATCCTTAGAATTTCCTAAATTGAATAGATTCATGTCTAAACACACCATATGTACAAGCCTAGTTCACAGGCTAAAAGCATAGACCCATATTGGTCAAATTTACATCAATAACTTGCACTAATTAAATCAAAATAAATTTTAAAAATAAAATAAATTTATTAAAATGGAAATGAAAATTTTAATAAGTAACTTACTACTTGAAAGATGACTCCATTGAACATCATTGGTTGTAAACCCTTAAAACAGTTTTTTTAGGGATACAAAGGGTTGACTTGAAATCGTCGAAATTTCTTTTTATAACAAAAGTCAAATTTTCCCCCGCTTAGACTACCTAGTATCCTAGTTTCTGCTAGATCTAGTAGTGGATCTAGAATCTAGATCTATAATAACTTACCATCTACGAACACACATAACAAAAAAATTTCAATTGGGTCTCATTCCGTAAGTATTTGACATAGAGAAAAAACAGTATCGTAATACTCCACAACTATTCTACTGTAATATGGTTCCATTCTGTATTCCTACACATAGAATTTGAGATATTCTGGCTTTAGTAACTTACATGCTATTGAACATTTTTATTTTTCCTTTTTTTTTCAAAATTTTACAATTTTTCTAACACCTCTACAAGTCATCAAACAAAGCACATCTTGTTCATTAAGATTCATTTAGAATACTCTAAATTATATATATTTATATTGTGTCATTGATTTTTTTGCACAGTAATTTAATAGTTCAAACATTTTTTACACACTCCCTAAGTCCATCCCATTCAGCCACTGTCTTAAGTATAGAATCTATGTTGTGACTTGTGCAGTTTGCAGCTAAGCCAGCCAAGACACATCAAGCATCGCTGAGATTTGCCTCAAAAAAAATTAAGATGCCTTCTTGATCTTATTTTGACCCTTTCCCTTCAACAACCAGCCCCTTTTACGATGCAGTCTTTTGTCTAAATGTTCAGTTGTTCTATTACCAACTACACCAGTGACCACTCTGCCTCTTATCTGTCTCCAATAGTGGGCTAATGTTTTACTTTACATATTCATAGTGTTTTCATTATACAGAATTAGATCACTAGATAGATTCTACATCTAATTTACATTTAAAATCTAAATTCCTATTTAATAACAATTTCTGTGTGTTGCCGTTCGCTCTAATGTAAGAGCTCAAAAAGGCCAAATAAGTGAACAAACACCCCATTTTTATTGTTCAAGTAGAAAAAACTCCATTTACGATGCAGAAGCTATTTATAGTGTAACCATTTAGCTAAGCGTTGATTGGTTCAAGTTTTGCAGCTAAGCCCAACCGTAGGTCAAAAGACAGAAGTGATGAGAATTAACAACAACCAGGAGGCCCCAGTGACAAAAGACGGAAGACGGGTAAAGGATGTGGAAGAGTGCGTCTACCTTGGCAGCAAGATCAGCAAAACGGGAGGCACAGAGGAGGACATACGTGCTAGAATTATTAGAGCCCGCTGCGCTTTCACAGTTCTGCGACCCATATGGAAAAGTTCTGCCATCTCCATTACCACAAAAATTAGGCTATTTAACTTAAATTTCAAGGCAGTTCTGCTGTATGGAGCAGAGACATAGAGAGTCTCCAAAGCAAGCACAGCATAGACACAGACCTTCATGAGCAGATGCCTTAGACAGATATTGAAATTAAGATGGCAGGACAAAGTGCCAAACATAGAATTATGGATGGAGGAAAGCTAGGAAAAAGCCTATGGGTGTGCAAATAAGGAGGAAGTGGCGCTGGATGGGTCACACACTGCGAAAGGCTCACCCAAATGTTACACGCCAAGCGCTTGAGTGGAACCCCCAGGGAAAGCGGAAGAGAGGGCGCCCAAGACAGACCTGGAGGCGGAGTCTTCTTAAAGAACTGAAGCCAACAGGGATGTCATCGGAGATGGCAAAATTAATAACCGGGGATCGGAAGAAATGGAAGGAAATGGTGGAGCCCTATGTTCCATAAGCAGCAAAGAGGATTAAGTCAAGTCCAACCATAGGTCACTTAATCCGGGGTGGTGTAAAAATAGAAATGCGCGTACCAACCATGCAAGATTTTAAGAAATTCTAAAAATAATTCTTGAAAGTGAAAACGAAAGTAATAAATGAACAGTTTATGTGCAGGCGCTCTGGTTTGGCATGTCATTCTAATCAAGTTTCTATGAGCCAAAAACTGACTAGATCTACATGTTTGCTGCAATGTGTGGTGGCTCTAATGTAAGTTAATCTAGAAATAAAAAGGGTAATCTATCGTTTTAGGTATGTAAAATCGTCCGCGACTAGTAATGTGAAAAACAGGTGACTCCTTAAATTTTAATAATTATTTCACATTTTGAGGAGGATTTATGTTTTGAAAAACACAAAAATGTTTCCTTGTTTCATATATGTACATGGTTTTAAACAATTGAATTATAACTTTTCCGTAATAAATGAAGACTAGCGATGTTTCTAACAGATGCAACCATGCTTATTTACTATAGCAGCCATCTTGTTTAAGTTTTATTTTTATAAGCTTATAGCGCGAGATTCAGGGGGAAGCCACTCTATTTTACAAATGGTTGCTGTTTATATAGCAAATCTTGCTCTCAGACACTGCTGTTTAAAGTTAATTTCTGGCCTATATCAATATATTTAACCATTGATTTAGGTTTATTATTAATTATCTATAATATTTGACACAAACATATCACAATATTACTTCTATTAAAGCCTTGACAATGAGGTAACGTTTTCATACATTAATAGCCGCGGGCGATTTTACGTACCCAAAACGATAGATTACCCCAATACTAACTAAGAGCACTGACTGACAATAGTAAAAAAAACCTCGCTATTTCAGGATTTGTTTGTAGCTAGATCTAGATCTATATGTCTATATATGATATGGCCTATCATCATTTTTTTCCGTGGGCTCTGACTGATGAGTCTCCCGAACGGCTAACTCTAGTCTAGTCTAGAGTCTAGACTCTACTAACTAGACTGAGATTCTATTCGAAGTCTAGATCTAGAGTAGAGATCTAGAATTCTAGATCTAGATCATAGTGACAGAGTGAGATGAGAATCATCATATCATAGAGTCATAGAGTAGAGTAGATCTTTGTGATAATTTTTTAATTAGGCCCTACATTAAGTTAATAATTATGCAATTTTAGAGCATAGTAATCAATATAGACACCATATTTACCGTCTCCAGGACTTATAATTTCTTTTTCCACCCCCATCGGCCAACGGATAGAGTCATTGAGCTGTGTCTGTTGGCTAGACACCAAACATCTAGGCCTAGAAGCTGAGACACCCCGACCAGAGTCAATCTTCACTCTCTCCACTTTCAGTTTTTCAAGTTGCCAGGTTTTGTACTTTAATGTCTTTCACTAAAAAGTCAATGAATTGTAAAAAGTCTATAGGCTTATAATGGCTTCGTAGTTTGAATTCAATAATGATACAAAGTATTTTTTAAGATGTATACAGCATATATTTAAAGTCACAATTAAATGAATAAAACACATTTTTAATAGATCTACTTAAAATGACAAAATACCATTTGGCACCAGGCCGTTATTTATTCCATTTACAATATGTCTGGAAGCTCAATTAACACAAAATGACTGCAATAAGATATTGAAATATTGGGTAACTCTATGATCTGCCACTATATTTTTCTTTACCTAAATGACCTTACATTTAATTTTTTAAGCATCACGCTTCATTTTTACAACAAATTGCCTATCATTAGAATGTATTAATAAGTACTAGATATGATGGAAGTTTAGTCAATATTAAATAAAATTAAATTATAAGTGATATACAATTAGCACAAAAAAAAAAAAAAAAAAAAACAGCAGGTGGCTGAAAAAATAGTCATAATGTTGAAAAAAAAAACAACAAACTATACAGGCCCATATATATATATATATATATATATATATATATATATATATATATATATATATATATATATATATAAATATATAAAAGCCTGTGTCTATATGTCTATATATGTCTATATCTATATATCTATATATGTCTATATGTTTATATATGTCTATATATGTCTATATGAGTCTATACAGAGGCGTGGCAGGGGGGGCGGACCGCACCTGGTGACACCATTTAGGGGGGTGACACCAAGGCAAGAAATAGCAAAATATATAGAGAAAAACTTGAGGGGGGTACAAATCGAAAGTTTGAGGGAGGGGGGGGTGTGCAAATCGAAAATTTAAAAGTTTGCCCCCGGGAAGGGTCGCATACGCCTCTGGGGGGTGACACCATTAAGTGCCGCACCGGGTGACACCCGACCTCGCTACGCCACTGAGTCTATATATGTTTATATATGTCTATATATGTCTATATGTTTATATGTCTTTACATGTCTATTATAATGTCTGTCTGTCTGTCTGTCTCTCTCTCTCTCTCTCTATATATATATATATATATATCACCCCATGCGAATGGCTATCACTGTCTCTGTCAATGATCTGATCACTGAGTAACAAATAGATATACCAGCACTTCCTGTATGCTCTCTCTCTCTCTCTCTCTTTATAACTACTAACGCTTTATCATTGAGTTTCTCGAGAGAAAAATACAGGAGAGCGGTAGTTATCATTGACTCTGTCATTGATAATTTCATTGAGTCTTTCATTGAAATTAGTGTTTGATCGGCTGTATATATATATATATATATATATATATATATATATATATATATATATATATATATATATATATATATATATATATATATATATATATATATCAGAGCTATAGGTAGACTCACCCCCCCCAACCCAATTATTTGGCTATTTAAAGTAAATCCTAACAGCGGTGTCAGAGCTTGGTAGACTCAATGAGACCCACCACAAGCCCATTTTAGCTGAGTGGACTCTGCTCCTTTCCCCATCACATTTTCGTGGTTAATGTTTTCATGCCAATGTGTTCTGCCACTCAATGGAGAGAAATCACTTGCGGAAGTCATTTGAAGGTTTGCATATCTTTTACACTCTTGTTATTAAAACGTTTCTTTATGAACTTTTTTTTTCAGCACCCTATTTTCTATTGCATACCTGTACTAATATTTAGGAAGAGACCCACGCTTTTCTTTATAGTTATTTAAATAGTAGTGTATTATTATATATATATATATATATATATATATATATATATATATATATATATATATATATATATGAGAAATTAATTTATTTTCTCCTTTTTAGTGCATTATTACATAAAAGCTTGTTATTAAAATGTTTTAACAAACTTTTATTTTACTTACTGTCTCTGTCAGTCTGTCGTCAGTAAAGATCGAAACGCTCGAGCGAAATTTCGGGCACTTCTGACAGATACGGTTCAAATTAGCACTTGGGTCAAGACATTATTATATATATATATATATATATATATATATATATATATATATATATATATATATATATATATATATATATATATATATATATATATATATATGAGAAATTAATTTATTTTCTCCTTTTTAGTGCATTATTACATAAAAGCTTGTTATTAAAATGTTTTAACAAACTTTTATTTTACTTACTGTCTCTGTCAGTCTGTCGTCAGTAAAGATCGAAACGCTCGAGCGAAATTTCGGGCACTTCTGACAGATACGGTTCAAATTAGCACTTGGGTCAAGACATGAAGACAATGCAATCAGACATTAAATTTGACTTAATTGGATGCCTAATTAATTTTTATGAATTAATTCAAATTGTGTCCAAATTAGTACGCTGTCTTACTCAACTATTCCGCACTATTATACGCGCGTAATCACGTTCATTAGGTGTGCAATTGCTTTTAGTCATGCATCTTTATTGTAAATTTAAAATAAACCGGGAGCGATCTCCCCTAAACTTTCTTGAACATCTATAATATAAGCGGCTAGGTAGTGTGTCAGTCAGTCATCGCTATAGATTTTGGAATTATAAAAGTAAACATCGCACCATGTAGTGCTTTGCAGTACATCACATTGTCTTATTATAAATAATAGAGTAGGGTTTGTTTATATAACGACATAGAGCTATTTTATAATTTCCACTGTTTGTACAATTTTGCATAACGTAAAGAGAATATTAAATACACGCACATTGCTAAAACATATTAAAAGTATCAATGTCAAATATTGTTTTTGTTAATATTCCTAGAAAAAGTGGATACATTTTAATAACATAATAACTGTTGAGGTAGATTGTAATCACTGACGAGGAGCCACATTGGTTGTTAACAGTCTTTATTTACAGCCATTATGGAAAGAGGAAGAGGAAATACCATATACAAGGGACATCACTCAAGATAACAATATAAATATAATACTAATACAGAAGAGTGAGTTCCCTTGACCTCACCATTATCTCAATCTATTACATCCCTTTACCCTTAGAACACAATTACACATCTCTCAATAGAACAATTGATAGTATCCTAAAATCACCAATTATATTGTAACATGAACACTATGGTAGATTACATCCTTACAAACAATGCACAATATGCTACAACATAATCAAGATACAAAACAATGATGTCAAAGCAGTAGCGTACGCAGGGGGGGAGCAGGGGGAGCGGCCGCTCCCCCTCTGGCCATTTTCAGCAAAGTGGCGCCTTTTTGGAAACTTTTTAAACTCAAAGTTTTAAAGAATGTTATTTGTTAAATAATTTGTTAAAAAAATATTTTTGGTCGGGACATCTATGTAAATCACAAGATTTCTTTTCATGCAGCAGTTAAGCATTATTGTACTAGTCTAGTAGTGTATACGTTTACAACACGTATTAACAGCTGCATCAGTTTGCCATTCTAAAAATAACCATTACGATGCATTGCAATGTTTAAAAAACCTCTACGGGTAGTACCACTTGGCAAGAGGGGTGTTAAGTTTAAGGCAACTGTATAATGTATTTGCTTACGAATAATTGAATTAGAAAATGTTATACATAAAATTTCATACATAATTACTTTATATATAGGCCTACAGTTTGAATCGTGTGATTAATTTTTTTTTAAATTACAATACAGAAACAAATACAACTGATGTGGCACCTCTATTTAAATTTACTTATGAGCAAACTGCGTAGTGGTGGGGAAATTTTGACAAGGTCAACAAAGTCATCACGATGAAGTAGTAGTATTCTTACAGTTTGGGCGATAGTGATTACGATTACGAATTATATGAAACAGTTACAACTCCCCTCCTCCATGGCCCCTCTGTAAAAAAAATATTGTCATAATACCACTGCTACTTATTTAAATCTATTTTTGTAATATATATTTGTGTAAAATATATTTGCGTAATATATATGTATGTTTAGAACAGTCATCTAAAAACTGACGCTATGTTCACTCTCAGTTGGTTATCTCCCCCCCCCACACACCTCACCACCACAATTGTGTGCAATTACCAGTAAAAAAGTGTGTGATCATTACAGTGATCTAACCCATACTTATCACTATGTTAAAAAAAATGATCTTTAAAGAACACAAAGAAGCAGTAGATAATTAAAAATATATGATTAGAACTAAAGACCAATATTAAGTTAAATGTAGGCTACTATACCGAGTGCTTTTCTTATATATTGAAAAGCGTGGTTTTATACAAACTCTGATTTTAAAAACTTTTATTATGCTGTAATACTTTAGCATTTATGATGACGATATATTTAATTTTGATTATAGACAAAAACACTTTGTAAACACGAATAGTGTTTACCAATTTCATTGTATTCTAAAGTAATTATTTATTTGTTTTGACATTTATAATTAAATGTGTAGATATATACATATTTATATTAAGAGAGTGATTATTTCCCCTATTTCACTTGTCTTAAATAATTTCCCAGGAATTATTATATAAGAAATTTTTTTTACAAGAATTACAAAACAGATAGTGCTACGTTCATTGTTTTTGGTTGTAGTGTGTATATATACTTTTTTTTTTGTTTAGATTTGTATAATTTTTGTTTTTTCGGCATGCATTGTGTGTTTTTTCTTATTTCTTCAGAGTGCTACTTTCAATTTATTTTACATCATAGCGAAGTAATGAGATACAGCTAGTAATTATATATATATATATATATATATATATATATATATATATATATATATATATATATATATATATATATATATATATATATATATATATATATATATATAATATACACGTATATAGAAAGTGTTAAAAATTCGGCGCCTTTTTTTCTCTTTTCGCTCCCCCTACAACGAAAACCTGGATACGCCTCTGTGTCAAAGTCCTTTTGACCTTTAAAATCATAGGTCTAACTTATTTGGGACTTTGATTGTCCTGTTTGACCTTCTCAGTGGCTTTTGATTTGGTGACTCAATATTCTGACCATTTGGATTCTCTATCTCAGGGGTCTAGGATTTAAATCATTAACTCCAGAATTTACATTTTCTGACTCCAGACAACTTGGTTCACTCATATCAACAGAACTTGGTTGTGGAACAAACTGAGTTGGTGTGAACTGTTCAGATTTGGTGGGATTGACAGATTCACACTTATTATCTGCACAAGTTATTTTTAACTGGTCTGCATGTCTACGGACAATA